AAGAAAAGGAGGAGGAGGAGGAGGAGGAGGAGGAGGAGGAGGAGGAGGAGGAGGAGGAGGAGGAGGAGGAGGAGGAGGAGGAGGAGGAGGAGGAGGAGGAGGAGGAGGAGGAGGAGGAGGAGGAGGAGGAGGAGGAGGAGGAGGAGGAGGAGGAGGAGGAGGAGGAGGAGGAGGAGGAGGAGGGGCAACATGTGCGTTCGTAGTGAGCAACGTCACAAGCCACGCAAGTCCCTCTTCTCAGCCTCACCTTGAGAGTGTGCAGGTTGATGAACACGTGGTGGCCTTCTTCGAGGCTGTGCGTGTACGCATGCGTTCCTGGACCGCGTCCCTGATAGTACTTGCCGCACACAAGGCAGGCGTACACGTTCTGGTTGCTCATGGTGACGGAGCACAGCTTCTCGAAGTCAAAGTCCAGCATGTTTCTGGCGGTGCAGTTGCAAAACAAGCGAGCGTGTTCGAGGGGCGGCGGGTGAGCCTCGGGCAAGTTCGAGTGCAATAAAAAGTAACCTCAACCCACCCAGCGTTTGTGAGGGGAGGCATGTGCAAAGATCCAAGTCTTCAGTTGCACACAACTAACTACACTAGCCACATTGCGCTGTCCCATCTTCTACTCTCACTCACTCTCAATCACACATACTCACACACTCACACACTCACAACACTCACACACTCACACACTCACACACGCACGCACACACATACAGCACGTACACACACTCACAACACATACACACTCACACATCCCCACTCACACAAACACAAACACATACACTCACACACACAACACATACACAAACTAACTCCCACCCTTGCCCTGACAGCCATGCGGACCTGTTGATGGTATCGAGGTATGGACAGCGGCGTGAGCGGTCGTCTGTTCCGTCCTGACGGCGTGCTCGGCGGGCCCTACGCCCAAACGCCTCCTCGTCCTCGTCGCCATCGTCATCCACCTCTTCTTCTTTCTTAGGCACACGTTTGCTGGACTCTTCCTCGCCTGCGCTTTGCTGCCCTATGCGGGCCTTCTTCGTTGGAGGAAGGTCTGTATCTGTGGCGTCGGCCACGTCGGGCGCCTCTTCCTCCTCCTTCTTCACCTTGCGGCTGCTCATGGCGATGCTGGGGTCGTTCGTTTGTGATGCGAACTTGGCTCGATTGCTTGCTTGGTGGTGGAAGCGTTCGCACTGGCTGTCGTGGGTGATGGTTAGGGAAGACTTGTGGAAAATTTCCAAGAAAAGTCGGCAACTGCAAGACGATGATGCAGCAGAGCAGCAGCAGAGGACACGGAGGTGTTGGCGATGCTGCGTCATGTGTGGCTTTGCAGCGCGTTCGACAGTTTCCCCATGTGGAAGGGCAATGGCCCACTTTTGCCTGCTTAAGACGTGAGTGAGTGAGTGAGTGGCGGGGCACAAGGATGGGCGACATACACGTCTATACTTGTGTGTGTGTGTGTAGTTTGGGACGGGGGCCCGGGGGGGGGGGGGGGGTAAGAGTCATCTTTGCAAGAGCAATGCGTTGTGTGCATGAACGATCGAAGCTATGGCTACAGTGAAGCAGCGCCTCTCTATTGCTCACTCCATACCTCCACCCGTGTGTCTGGCAAAATATGTTGACGAATTCATTCATGTGCCATTGTTGAATTGTTTCCGTGCTGCGTTTGTTGCTCCAGTACACGATGGGGAGGAAGAGGAAGACGTGCTGGAAGCTGCCATGGAGGTTGCGCAGTGCATCACGGACACCATGAAAGGTGCGCCGGCATGCTTACCTGAACGTTCACGGTGTGCATATTTTACTTTCTCTCCATTTGGAATGACCTGTTGCATGTGACCGCTCTCGTTTCCCTTCACGGCACAGTCGCACACACACACAAACAAGTGCGTTCATTCCCAAAAACACACGTGCTCACACAACGCGTGCGTTTGTGCGTAGTCAAAGCGGTACCTTGTGAAGACGTGCATGTGAGTCTGTCGAGGACATTTACGCTACAGCTGGGGGAAATTGACAGCTTTGTCTCCCAGGTACGCCAGGCCGTTGCGTCTGTACCAGCGTACGTTTGCTCTTCAATCATGTGCCTTGCCAGTTGTAGGTGTGTGTGTGTGTGTGTGTGTGTGTGTGTGTGTGTGTGCTGGTGATGTGTGCTGGTGATGCCTTGGGAGCTTGGGCCGGTGTTTTATGATAGGGCGGCAGTACCCACTCAGCAAACGAGCTCGCCTCTCATCCCTCTACGCAGTCACACACACACGCACAAACACACACACTCACACACACACACACACACACACTGCTTGTCTGCGCTCACGATTTGTGGTTACGCCGGCTGATCGCTCTCTGGTACCTCGCTTGCGCTTCTGGGATTGTAGGTTTTATGCTCCCCTCGGCTTTCGTGGGTACGTGATGTTGAACGATGATGGCAGCCGGGCGTTCTTTTGTGTGGGCCTGAATCAGCGTGTGCCAGCCATTGATCTTCTTCTGGATCGCATAGATGAGTGCCTCGCCGCCTTTGCCAAGCCAGCCTTCTACGAGGTGTGTCCTTGTGTGTGTGTGTGTGTGTGTGTGTGTGTGTGTGTGTGTGTGTGTGTGTGTGTGTGTGTGTGTGTGTGTGTGTGTGTTTTCATGCCTGTTTTGCTTTTGTACTTGTGTGTGCACAGTGGACCACCCCTGTTTGCGTCGTGCGCCTGCGATTCCGCCGTGTCGCACCAATGGGCTTCATCCAATCTGTGTGATGAGGTGCTGCCCGCCCTTGCTCACATATGGATGCCCTGACATCTGCGTGCGTGGTAGGCTCGTGACATCCATGTATCGCTCGCTTCTTGGGTGATTCCGCCTGCCCAGCGAAATGGCCAGCCTCCGCAACTTCCGCCAAACCTTCTCGATGCCATCCAGGGCATCCTACAGGTGTGTTTACGTGCGTGTGTGTGTGTGTGTGCGTGTGTGTTGTGTGCGCATGTGTGTATTGTGTGTGTGTGTGTGTGTGTTGTGTGTGTGTTGTGTGTGTTGTGTGTGTGTGTGTGTGTGTGTGTTGTGTGTGTGTGCGTGTGCGCGCGCGTATGTGTGCGCGCTTGCGTGCTTGCTTGCTGATCACCTTGGCTAACCCTGCATAATCCTTGGCGCGCCCTCGTTGCTGATTGATTCTGACAATGACGACAACAACAGACCCACTTGGACGAGCTTGTCATCCCAGGCGACACGGTCACTGTCCACAGCGGCAACAAGGTTCGCTTACGTGCGTGTGTTGTGGGTGTGTGTTTGGCACACTCAAATCATCTCACTGCGCGTTATTGGCACACTCAAGTCATCTCATTGCACATTTCTGCATCTGCACACACACACACACACACACACACACACACACACACACACACACACACACACACACACACACACACACACACACACACACACACACACACACACACACACACACACACACACACACACACACAAACCGCAGACGTTTCGCTTGCCTCTTCTCCTTCGTTCAAAAATCCCGGCATAAAACACAACACAGGCAAAAAAACAAAAAAAAACTCGCGCCCAGTATTTTTTTTTTGTGGTTGCATGCATGCACACAAACCCCACCCACGCACGCACGCCACCAACACAAAACACCACTGACCGACTGGTGGGCTGATGCGAGTGTCGCACCCATGCCACAAAACAGCAGCAGCACCTCAGCACCTCACACATCGACCACATCATTGTTTGAAACACGCCATCGCGATTCAAGGGGAGAGCTGACCAAGACCAAGCCACCCCAGCGAACTGAGCGGCGCGACAAGTAGACAAGTGGCTGAAGGGCTGAGCAGGTGCATACATACAACGAACGAGAGACGCAGACGTACCTTTGTTCCCGCTGCGCGAAGACGGGAGGACAGTTCACACACCAGCCAGGAAGCCAGCCAGGGTGTGGTCATTTTCCCTGGCTACCCACTCAACGGCGAGACAGCAAGCTCCACGAACGACGAGCCTCAAAGCAGCCTCAAAGCGCTAGAGCGATCGCGAGCAAGCACAGCCAACGCAGCCACCTCACAATACCTTCACCCCACAAGTACATACAATATGGAGAGGGGCTGCAGACGAACGACGCAAACTCAGCAGCGGTGCTGCACCGCAGGTGTGCTTGTGGCGGTGGCGCTGCTCGCATGTTGTGCTGCGCCGGCATCGGCCCAGGGCGAGAACGGCAGGGGCAGCGCTCGCGGCACCATCTTCATCCTGGCCGACGATGTTGGTGCGGATAGCTTTGGTGTGTATGGATCCGAAAGGAACACACCCAACGTTGACGCCATGGCTGCCAACGGCTTCTATGCGGACTACTTTTTCATGCACCCCGTCTGCTCCCCAAGCAGGTGCGCTGCATGCATGGGTGTCCGCGTTTGTGTCTGTATCTCTGTCTGTCTGCGGCGCTGTGGCTGTCTGTGGCTCTGTGGCTGTCTGTATCAGCGTGTGCTTCTGTTGCATCTCCTCTTTCTATCGCCCTTTTCCCCATCTGCCCCATCTCTTTGTGTATGTTTTGTTAGCTTGCTTTCCGTCTCCGCTTCACTTTTTCCAACTGCGGTGACCAAGACGTGCATGCAAGCAAGCAACAGTGGTCGTTGCACCCCCGCACCCCCCCCCCGTGCGTGTTTGGCACAGACCCAACCAAGCAAGCAACCGGTCTGGGATAGTTTTATGGCGCTCACACCAAACGCAACCCATGCTGCACATCGCCATGACACTTGTTTGTCTGAACAGAGGCTCGGTTGCAAGTGCACGGTACCCGTTCCGCACTGACGTCACCCGAAACATTGACACAACCACCATCCGCGAAGAGGATTGCTTGCTTGCAAAAGGCATGAAGGCAGCAAACATCTCCACCTTCCACGTAAGTGCGAGTCAGCAGAGTGAGCGTGCAGTGAGCAGAATGCGCTTGTAGTCTCGTGGTCTTGTCTTGTTGCCTGAGCTATGCATCGTTGCTGGAGAGTGTGGACAAGTGTGGTGCAGCAGCCTGTAGACACACACACACATGCACTTACACGCAAGCACACTCCTCTTACCGTTCTTTTTCCTTTCCCTTCCCCCACAACACACACACCACATGTAGGTGGGAAAATGGCAAGTATCACCTGTGGACCAGTTCAACCACATTCGAACGCGATGCGACTTTGACTACTACTTTGCGTGGAACCAAGAGGACAACCGGTATTTCAACGGCGGATTCTACACCAACGTGGAGGGCTTGACCAATGACACGTACGCCTCCTTTAGCTTCTCCCAGAACCAGCCAACGCTTGCTCCCACCACAAACGAGTTTGTGGACACGACCGGCGCCTTTTCGCCAGACGTGCTGACAGACCTGGTCATCGACTTTGTGCGCACGCGCGACGCAGACGAGCGCTTCTTCGTCTACTATGCCATGCTGCTCCCGCACAACCCAGTCATCAACGTGCCTGGGTTTGACGACGCCAGCACCATGCAGGAGCGCTTTGACAGCCAGGTGCAGTACATCGACTTACTTGTTGGCCGCATCACGGCTGCGCTGGAAGACCTGGGGATCGAGGACGAGGTGCTCGTGCTCTTCTCCTCAGACAACGGCGCCAAGGGCGACATTGAAACGCCGTGGCGGGGGCAGGTCAACCTGGGCGACAAGTTTGGCTTCTCCGACGCCGGCGTGCGCGTGCCGCTGGTGGCGCAGATGCCCGGCACCGTGCCCGCAGGCACCTCTTCCTCGGCACTCACCGACTGCACAGACATCCTCCCCACCATCTACGACGCGTTTGGGCTGGAGCTGCCCAGCGACATTGATGGCGTGAGCTACTGGGACACGCTGGTCACCCCCGACACGGCGCCCGCGCTGCGCAGCTGGGTGTTCTTGCAGGCAAACACGCGCCAGAGCATCCGCGATCACACCCGTCAGGTGGAGGAGGACCAGGCCTTTGATGTGACGCGGCTGTACGACCGGCGCGAGCTGCCCATCACCACCGATGCCGACGTGTGCTCGGACGCGGCCCTGATGGACCTGTACGACGCCAAGGCGAGGCTGGTCAGGAACTCAAACATCCGCATCAAGTTCCCGACAGACACCTCCTTCAAGCACTGCAACGGCATCGTGTGCCAGGCAAACGAGCCCTTCTGCGTGCGCTCGTGCGACACGTCCGTCTACCACTGCCTGGAGTGCAGCGCTGGCGATCGCACCACGTGCACGCGCTGCGGCATGGGCCACCTCCTCAAGCCCTCCACGGGCCAGTGCGTGCCGTCCATGTTCACCACCACGCCCTCCACAACCACGACCACGACAACCACGACGACCACAACAACGGAGGGCACGACGACCACGGCTGCTTGTGTTGTTGAGCACTGCGCGTCGTGCCGCGGCAACAAGCCCTGGCGCTGCAACCGCTGTGAGGATGGCTACCGGCTGCGGCGGCGCGGGCGGGAGTGCCGCCCCCCGCTGGACTGCGAGGTGGAGAACTGCCTGCAGTGCAAGAAGAACAGGCCCAGGCGGTGCAAGCGGTGCGCCGAGGGATATGAGCCGCGCATGCAGCGCACGCGCTGTGACGTTCCCTTGCCCTGCCAGGTGGACAACTGCGTGGAGTGCCGGGAAAACAAGCCGCGCCGCTGCCAGCAGTGCGAGCCAGGGTACGCCTTGTACAAGAACGCCAAGCGCTGCGCCGAGATTGGCCTGTGCCACGTGAACAACTGCGAGGAGTGCCACCTTGGCAAGCCGAAGCGCTGCTTGCGCTGTCTGCCGGGCTTCATCAAGCGCAAGAACAATCGCAGGTGTGTCCCTGAGCACAACTAGCAGCACGGCAAGCGCACAGTCGGGCGTGTGGCGACGCGAACCCCGAAGCTGAGACAACAGCAGCCTGCCTACGCGAAGCCAGTAGTTCTTTTCGTAGTAGAGCCTTATCAGCGTGCATGTCGTCGTTGGGAGGAGCAAGTTGTGATGTCAAGTGTTTCCTTTTGTGTGTGCATAGCCATGTGTGTGCATAGACGATGGGGGTCCATTCTTTCTTTCTTTGTCTTGTGTCTTTCTTTCCGCGGTGGTAGAGTTGTTACACCTTCCTTGTGTGTATGTATGTATGTATGTATGTATGTATGCAGATGGTCAGCTCAGGGTGTGTGTGTGTGGTGCGTGTGTGTGCTTGTGTGTGTGTGTGTGGTGCGTGCGTGTGTGCGTGTGTGTGGTCGAGGCAGTCTGTTCTCTGCTTCTTGTGTGTTCGCTTTGTCTTGTGTGGCTCCCTCCCCTCTTCATGGTCAGACTTGAACACTCTCATTACAGTCCACCAGTTGAAAGGACTCAATGGTGACATCATCAGATCGGGGAGCTGGGGAGGGCGGGCGGAAAGGTGTCTGTCTGCGAACACACACACACACACACACACACACACACACACACACACACACACACACACACACACACACACACACACACACACACACACACACACAGAGAGAGAGAGAGAGAGAGAGAGAGAGAGAGAGAGAGAGAGAGAGAGAGAGAGAGAGAGAGAGAGAGAGAGCATGTACACATTTACAGCACACACATAGACACATACAACACACACCCCTGGGAGCATGAACGAAGAAACCTGACGGTGGTGACTTTTGCACTCTCGCGCGGATGTTTGGGAAGGGGGCGGCTGTCATGACCACACGACCCCCTCCCAGCCCTCAACGATCCCCTTCCTCTTGCTTTGTGGGTGAGCATTTATTGCATGCGAAGGATGATTTGGTGTGAGTTTAGTGCGGGAAAAGTGCGGGAAAACAAGCAAAGAATTCCGCACAAGTTGAGTGAGCGCGACCTTCGTCTTCTTCGTTTTTCGCTTCCCGCTCCTCTCCCTCAGCTCATCAGTCCACAAACGACAAACCAAAGCAAGGGAGGAAGAAGGTGGTTTGTGCGGGTGTGCGCAGATATCAGCGACCTAACGCAACATCAACTCTGTGTGCGCAGGACGGAGAACTCGCTGGCATTGCATACCGCTTTCGCAAACGCAGACCGCGGCAGCACCAGCACGAAGGAACTGAGGCCAGCTGCGTGTGTGTGTGTGTGTGTGTGTGTGTTCGCGTGCGTGTCGTGTGCAGAGGAAGAAGTCGTGCCGGTGACGCGGAAGCACAGGTACGCGAACTGCTCCAATAACCAGTAACCAGCAACTGCGCTACTCGAGCAACAAGAACGACCAAGAACGACACCCAACAAGAACGATCAACAAGAGCGAAGAGGACAAGCAAGGTCGAAAGCAAGCTTAGCTTCTCCCCGCACAAACACACGACGGGACGGGCGCAGGGCACACCTTGCAAAGCGTTGGTCGGTGCCCGTTTGGACGTGCATGACAACAGCCAAGCAACAGCCGTCGTCGACTCGTAGTCAACACATAAGCAGAGGCACAAGACGCAACCAGGCAAACATAGTCACACAGGTGCGGTCATCTCTTTCGTGTACTCGTTTGTTGGTGTTGTTGTCGTCGTCGTCGTCGTCGTTGTTGTTGTTGTCGTCGTCGTCGTTGTTGTTGTTGTTGTTGTTCTTGACTCTTGTTTGTTGTTTGTTGTTGTTGTTTGTTGTTGTTGTTTGTTGTTGTTGTTGTTGTTGTTGTTGTTGTTGTTGTTGTTGTTGTTGTTGTTGTTGTTGTTGTTGTTGTTGTTGTTGTTGTTGTTGTTGTCATCGTCTCATCGCTGCTCGTAATACCACGCAACGAGTGCTTGTCTCTTGTCCCTTTTTCACACACACACACACACACAATCACACACTCTCTCTCTTGGCCCTGGTTTTACCGATGCAGCCCGCGTGGTCAGATTGAAGCTGTGATGGACACGAGTGAGGTGTTACACCACTCCAATCCAGGCAATCCTCAGGTCTGTCTTCTTGCACTTGATCACCCCCCGCAAGTATGCTTTCGTTGTGCATGTGTGCTCTGCATTTGTGCCCTTGCTCGCGTGTGCAAGCCACCCGCACTCTCACATTCACACAGAATCACGCACTTACGCACTCTCACTCTTACATTCACACAAAATCACGCACTCACGCACACACACACACACATATGACGCTGTGTAGCCGCCACTCCATGCTGATCCCGATCGATTGCGGCGCCTTGACCGCCGGATTCAGAATGTGAGAACACACACAATGAAAGCGTGTTGTGTGTGTGTGTGCTTGTGTGCTGTTAGGTTTGCTGCTTCATTTGTGCTTGTGTCGCTGTCAATCACCCAAGTTGCATTGTCTGCTCACGCGTGCTTCCCGCTGTGCACAGAACGGATCCCGTTCACAAGGCGTGAGCCAAGACGGCTTCGACCCACCTGCTCTAGTGCGTTCACTTTCAAATTCCATCATGACACCCACACATGAACCCCCCCCCCCTCCTTCTCTGGCATCTTGCAAGCCTAACCCGTTTTGCCATTACTCGTGCCTTTCCCTCTTTCTGAACTTCTACTCGTCCATAGTGCCATGTTCCTCATCGCACAACACCCTTTTTCGCCCCCGCACCTCCTCTCCGTGGCTTTTGCTTCCCTCGCTTTCAATGACTAACGCCGCCAACAACACCAACGACGCACCTCAGGGCACTGGTCCGCCAGCGACGGGCACGGCGTCGTCGGACAACAACATGCAGGCGCCTGTGCCTTCAAAGGGGCTGCACATGTCGACATCGCACCCAGTCGACCTGCTTCAATCAAGCCCCCAGCAGCAACCAGAACAGCCCCAGCCACAGCAATACCACCAGCAGCAGCAGAGGCAGCCGCCGTCGCGGCGCACATCCGTCTCCGCAGACTCCCCAAGTAAGCAGTTGTGTCGTGTTCGACGAACATTGCATTCTGGGACGTGTGCTGTTGGTTGCACCACACATTCACGGCCGCACACACACCGTCCAACCCCGCGCACTGTGCTGCGCATACTCCTTTCTCACCTACACCGTACACACATCACCCATGCACGATACATTCAACCACACTCCCACACCACTCACTCACACCTACACACACATACACACGCTCTTTCTCTCAACAATGTATGCAGTTTCCAGCATGTATCCCCGCGCATCCGGGCCGTCGCCGTCAACCACCAGCACAGACTCGGACGACCTCCAGCGCCCAAAGCAGCCAAAACTCTCCACGTCCTCCCAGGGTGCGTTCGGTGTGTGTCTGTGTGTCTGTTCTCGTTTGGAGTTGTGTGCGCCTGTTGCTGCTTGCAGTCGTTGCCGTGTAGTTTAAGTTCCGTCCATCCACCTCACGCTCGCAACGCGGTTGTTATCGTGTGACTCGTGCACCCTCTGCTGTGCATTGTTGGCACCATCAGCGTCGCTGATGGGCCTTGGATCAATAGCAACTGCAAACGGCGAGCAGCTGCAGGCAACAAGCGCTTCATCCTCATCAACACAGCCAAGGACATCAACTGCAAAGCAACGGCAGGTGGGTCGTCACCCCTTACCATGCGTGCAGCGATGTGTGTGTGTGTGTGATGTCAAGGCTGATATCTTCGCCGTCACGATTTCTCTTTCTCTTCAACTTCCATGTTCCACTTCCTCATTCCTCCCTCCTCACGCGCACTCACGTATGTGCTTTGATTCACCAACCAATGACAGTCTGGCTCGCCACCTGCGCGGGCACGGAAAGCGCGCGCAGCGTCGAAGCGAAGAGGAAACTCTGCAGCATCGCGCACCGAGAATGCCCGCAAGGCGCTAACCAACTACGTGTACAGCTTGCCACTTGACACATGTCGCTCGCGGCTGCTGGCGCTGGAGCAGGAGAAGGAGGAGACGCGAAGAACACACACGGAAGAGGTATCCCCATTCGTGTTGCGTGTGTGTCTGTGTGCGTGCGTGTTGCGTGTGTGTCTGTGTGCGTGTGTGTGTGTGTGTGTGTGTGTGTGTGTGTGTGTGTGTGTGTGTGTGTGTGTGTGTGTGTGTGTGTGTGTGAGGAAGCCTTGAAGTTTCGGGGCTGTGGTGGTGTATAGATGCGGTGACAGTGCTAGCGGTCTGCCATTCCTCCCTGCACATACCGCCCGGTCCCTTAATCGATGCATTTGTTGTGCTGCTGCTGACATTGTTGGTTTCGCTGTCGCCTTTGCTCAATGGTTTCAGGTGACACAGCTACAGAGCACCCTTGAATCCCTGCGAAGCAAGTACCGCAACACCATTGTCGACCTCATCATGGCGCAGGCCCAGCAGGAAAACCGCCGCGCCCGGTTCGTGTGAATAGATATAAATGTGCGGTTGTGAGTATGTGCGTGTGCATGTGTGCAGATGATGATGATGATGATGATGATGATGATGATGATGATGGTGATGATGATGATGATGATGTAAGTGTGTTGCTGTTTGTGAAGCAAAGTCTGGTGCGCTGACATGTGATTCTGCCTCGACTTTGCTTGTGCGCTTTGCAGGGACCAGCACTTGCTGAACGTCCAAAGACTCGGATGGGCAACAGCCGTCAGGTAACAACAACTTAATAACTTAAACAACTCAAACAACAACAGCAGCAGCAGCACATTCACACGTGAAGCTCCATGGCTCTGCACTCTGCTTTCCCTCCTGCTTCCTCCCACTCCCCTGTCTGTCGCGCCCATCTCACTGTGTCGACCATGCCTGCTGCAGATCTGGGCTGTCTGTGCACGAAGCATGGTGCGACGGGAGCGCATTCAAGTCGCTGTACACCCGGCAGCGCGAGATTGAGGCCAGAAGGAAGCAGCTGGATGAGGACAAGAAGCGACTGCAAAAGCTGCGCCCCTCCAAGTCAAAGCGCCCGCCAAGAAAGAGCCCAGAAGGTGCAACAACGCACACTTTGAGGAAACGTAATCCTGGATGGCATGTTTGTGTTTGTTTGTTGGTGTCGGTCTCGTCTCGTTCTTTATGCTCTTGGTTGTTGTCCCCCACCCCTCGTCACGTGCATGCGCAAAGCACCAACATGCACCGCACTCTTGTGTGCGTAATTGCTTGTGTCTTGTCTATGACAAACACACACACATGCGCACGCATCCTTACATTTGCCAAGATACCCATAACTTCATCACACCCATATCCTCACATGCCCAATCATGCGCATGCCTGCCCTCACAACCCCCGCGTGCCCAGGAACGAGCTCTGAGGATGTTGGCGGGCGGGGTTCGTCATCGCGCGGATCAAAGGACAAACCGAAGCTGACGGAAGAAGAGTATCAGGAGCGGCTGGAGGTGATTGCCCTCAACCTCTCAAACCTCAAGTCTGAGGAGGAGAGCCTGAAGACCCAGCTTGCAGCCCTCATCCGCGAACGAAACTTGCACGTGCGTTCTCTTCCCTGTGTTTGTTTGTTTGTTTGCTTGTTTGTTTGTACTGTATACTGCTGTTGCTGTCCTTTTTCTGCTCATCCTCACACACACATACGCACATACGCACGCACGCATCCGCTGTCACCAATTGCAATGTGCCAGGTCCGGGAGATGAAGCGCATCGCCGACGAGGACTCGGCACGATTCCGTGGCCTCCCCTACCGGTACACACACACACACATGCACACACATGCACACACACATGCACACACATGCACACACATGCACACACACTCTCTCTCTGCTGTACATTCATGCCACTCACTCACAACGCGTTGCAATCGTATGTGTTCTTGGCGTAATCACTGCAGTTTACACGAGCGCTATGTGCTGATGAGTCTTCTTGGCAAAGGTGGCTTCAGTGAAGTGTACAAGGTGCGGTACCACTGACATTTTGATATTAGGCATTGACACCCCCCTCCCATGCGTGCTTACATGTCGCCCTGCTCCCCTTCGTCATCTGTCTTCTCAAGCCCACGCGCATACGCACACACGCACAGCCACGCACAGCGTCACAGAATTACACATTTGCTCCCTCACGTCCTTTCATGCCCATCAATCCATGTCTGTTGCCCGCTGTGTGCGCAGGCTTACGACGTAGACAACTGCCGCATGGTGGCCTGCAAGATTCACCAGCTCAACCCAACATGGAGCGACGCCAAGAAGGCAAACTACATTAAGGTTTGAAGAAGGCTTTACGTCCACACACGCACACACGCATGCATGCACGCACGTGCCTGCAACGCTTGTGTGAGTGTTTTGCTGGCATTTGATGTTGAAACAGCGCTGACCATGCCGTGGTGTTGGTTATGTGTGCAGCATGCGACCCGTGAATATGAGATTCACAAAGACCTCAAGCACCCGCGCGTCGTTGAACTCTACGGTACGCCACAACCATCTTTTTCTTGCCGTCACAGTCACCTTGCTACATACCATGCACATTCCTTGCAAGCCTACTCAACCACATGCCCTCATTCACACACTCACACACGCAGGCACACACACACACACACACACTCTATCTCTCTCTCGCACTCTCACACACACACACACACTCTCTCTCTCACATATACTCTCACACGCATTCACTCTTGCATTTTGCCAACTACCATGCAGACGTGTTTGAGATTGACGCGAATTCGTTCTGCACGGTGCTGGAGTACTGCCCTGGCCAGGACCTCGACTTCCTCCTCAAGCAGGAGCACCGGCTCACAGGTCTGGCACCGCTCGCATGCATCCATGCCTGTTCTTGCGGTGCTGTGTGTTGGGAGTGACACAATTGCTGCTGCTGGTGGCTCAGCTGTTGTCTGGTCGTTTGTGTCGCGTATTGCCATCCCTTTTTGCCGTGTGCAAACGTTCATGTGTGTATCTGTATCCACACACACCCGCACGCGCGTGCTCGTGCATGCCTCTCACCTCATGCTTTCTGCGTGTATTTGACCCGCGTTATTCATTGCCGCCACCGCCAACACCAGAGCGTGAGGCGCGCAACAAGATCATCCAGATTCTGAATGCGCTCAAGTATCTCAACAGCGTGGAGCCGCCGGTCATCCACTACGACCTCAAGCCAGGTCTGCCCCCTTGCACACGCACGGGTTGGCTGTCTCGGAGTGCTGTGTCTGTGTTATGTGCAGTGTGCAGTGTGCCCGTGTTATGTGTGTGCTGTGCTGTGTCGTGTTGTGTGCGTGTGTTTGCGCGCTATGTGGTGCTTGAATTGTGTTGCTGCCAGGCCTCACACGTGGTGATGATGCGCTTGTGAATGCTGTGGCGCATTTTCCTGCACAGCCAACGTGCTGCTGACGGATGGCCAGGTGAAGATAACAGACTTTGGGCTGTCGAAGCAAGCGAAGGACATTGATGAGTCCGGCAACATGGATCTTACATCACAGGTGCGCACCACGCTGCTTGTTGCCCCCCCCCCTCTTGTCGCTGCCCGCGTCGGCGTCGGCGTCTACTGATGTGATGCGATGTGTTGGTGTTCGTCGCCGCTCACAAACAGCACCTGGCGCTGTCTTCCCCCCCCCCCTGTGTGTGTGTGTGTGTGTGTTTGTTTGCGTGTGTTTGCGTGTGTGCAGGGTGCGGGCACGTATTGGTACCTGCCACCGGAGTGCTTTGTTGTCGGCACGACGCCGCCGAAGATCTCCTCCAAGGTGGACGTCTGGTCCGTCGGCGTCATCTTCTACCAGTGCCTTTATGGCGAGAAACCATTTGGCCATAACCAAAGCCAGCAGGTGTGTGTGTGTGTGTGTGTGTGTGTGTGTGTGTGTGTGTGTTGTTCGCGTGACCAGTTACGATCAAGCTTGCTTTTGAGCCGCCTCTACTGCATCACATGCCACTGGCCACTCTCATCTCATTCCGCTGCTGGCTGTCGCTTTCTTTGCCCACAGAGCATCCTGCAAAACCACACCATTCTTCGCGCACACGAGGTCAAGTTCCCAGACAAGCCAAAAGTCAGCGAGGAAGCAAAGGTGCGCCGTCCTGGCTGCCACGCGCGACCTGTTGTGACCTGTTGTGACCTGTTGTGATTAGTGACTGATGGTTGTTGGCAAAGTTGGCTGACACCCTCAAGCTGTGTCCATCCAAGCTCCCCTGTCGCTCACAATCAAACAACGTATCGACCAATCCAACAACCACACACACACACACACACACACACACACACACACACACACACACACACACACACACACACACACACACACACACACACACACACGGGCAGGCGTTTATCCGTCGTTGTCTGACCTACAAGGCGGAGCTGCGGCCCGACGTGAAGTCGCTGGCGGAGGACATTTACCTCCACCGCAAGCCAGCGCGCATGACCTGACACAGAGCAAGGTGTCGTGCCATACCATGTCACGCCGCCGTCACCGTCTATTGATCCGCTGATTGCCAGGAACCAACTATATTTGAACCCCGTGTTGTGCATTCTCTCCCTACCCTGTGTTCTCCATGTGCGTATGTGCGTGTATTGCTGACCTTGAACCATCGTCAACGCGCTTTTTGTTTGTTTGTTTGTTTGTTTGTTTGTTTGTTTGTTTGTTTGTTTGTTTGTTTGTTTGTTTGTTTGTTTGTTTGTTTGTTTGTTCTTCATGTGTCTGTCTCTGTCTGTCTCGGTCTCATATGTCGGCGCTGGAGCAAGCTGTGATGTTGCGAGAGCTTCGTCACAGCTGCAACTGCCGCGGCTGAGGTTGTTGTGCTGTCTCCGCGGCTTGCTCGTCACTCTGCCATATCCAACAGCGTTTGTGGGTTCTCCTCCTCCTCGTCTGTGCTTTACTCCCCGTTTGCACCCCAAGGCGTATCTTGTGGGGGTTCTATTGGTACAAGGACGTGCGTGATGTATTGTGATTTGCATTGACGAGTGCACCTTTTGCCTCGTTGGTGGCTGGCACGTCTTCCTGACCTTGCTTCTTCACCTTACTTTTGCTACCGCTTGTTTTATTCTAATTCCCCTTGACCCTTTGCGCAAGTAGCTGCCAGTCACATCACCCTCGTTGTTTCTCTGCGCACACCAAGCCTCCATCTCCCTTTTGCCAATGTGTCTTTTCCTCTTCAGCATCCAAACGCGCGCGCATACACATACACTCACACATAACACACTCTTCCACCTCCGTATGTGTCACGCTTAAACACACACACACACACTTACACTCTCCCTCTATGGCTCTTGTCGTTGTTGCTCGGCTTGTGTCACTGCGTCATTTGATAGTTTACATCGTTTGCTGCATGTCTGTTTGTCGTCATATGCACGCTCGTGTGTCCTTCACTGTCGCTTCACTCACTGTACGATTTTAACTGTGTGTTGTCGGTTGTTGCCAATGCAACAATGCACAAGTAAACAGCCAAGGTTAGAAGGACCACAAGCCAATACCTGACGATGGATGTGTGTGTGTGTATGTGTGTGTGTGTGTGTGTGTGTGCCACGTGTGCGTATGTGCGCATGTACCGAGCGCGGAGTGATGATTGCTGGCTTGCCTTTGAAATGCGGTGTATGTGTACGTGTGACACATCACATCACCACCACCTCTCGTAAACGACATCCGTAACGCCTCGCGCATGCATGGTGTCTTCCACCAAGTGCACCATGGGTGGGGGCCCGCACACAATCACCGTCACGTCTGTAATGTCATGTGTTCGCGGCACCAAGCGGGACAGCGCCATATCCAGCGTGCCTTCGTCAATCCGCGTCTGGCGGTCACGTGTGTATGCGCGCGTGGGTCCAGTGAGGGATAGGGTGAGACACTGAGGGATAGAATGAGACATGCAACGAGAGTGTATCACACGAGAGTTTTGCAGAGGGTGGTTTACAACACGTGTAAACAGGAAGGAGACAGACAGTCGAGCAGACACACGCAGCGCGCTGTGCTGTACCTTGTCGTGCTCTTGCGTCACAAACGCCTCCCAGGTGAAATGCGGGTTCATCTCTGTCAAGAACTGTAACTCCTTCTGCTCAGGGAGACGCAAGACGTACTGGATAAGACGCTTGGCAAAGATGGAATCATCACACACACACACATACACACACACGTGTTCACACACACACGTGTTCACACACACACGTGTTCACACACACACACACACACACACACACACACACACACACACACACACACACACACACACACACACACACGCACGCACACACATACACACACCTCAAATATCAGCTCTGGTCGTGCTGCGACAGAATACAGCATGTGACAGTGGATAGCGCTGTGCTCAGCCATAGCCTGTGCCATGCTGAACAGGGGACTGCACCGAGCAGGGGAAGCACGAGCGACATGTGAGCATTGACAGCAATACGGCATTTGCACAAGTGAGAAAGTTCTTTCGGGTTGTGGATGAGACTTTCTCACCTTATACCAATGCCACCAGCAACAAAGAGAATCGGCTTCTTGACTTCTCCAGGCTCCAGCACCACATCTCCGCCAACATCAATCAGTAACTCTGTCCCTTCACGGCACTGTCGGCGCGTACGTGCGGTGAGCATGAGCGTGAATGCATGGGAGTGAATGAGGGCAGGTAAGTGAGAGCGTAATGAGCGTGAGTGACTGTGTGAGTGGGTGAGTAGCTGAGAGCACACAAGTGAGTGAGAGTGTGTGAGTGTGTGGTCCTTTGCTTGCAACATTGTCACCGTCATTAGACACGATCTCAAGTCAAGGCCCAGGATGCCAAGGAAGCGAGGTGGATGGGATACACGTGCGCATTGCGTCCAAGAGCACAAGGGAGCAGCGCATTCCCGGTACCTGTGCTGCAATCTCACCTGTTCGTGCAGCCACTTTGTTGGCGGGTGACGTGCATATTTGACAGCCATGTCCAAGTGCTTCACGCCGTGGGATAACAGCGGTGGTGCAGTGTAGATGGAGTATCCGCCAACCATATCTGTTCCAGGAATAAATACATCCAACCTGTGAAGCAGCACAACGCACGAGAGTGCGCGTGTGTACGTGCGTGTGTGTATGTGTGTGTGTGTGTGTGTGTGTGTGTGTGTGTGTGTACGAGACGATAGTGAGTCCAAACCAAAGCATGCCACTGTTGCGGTGCTTGATGTCGCACTTGGTGCGTGCATGCTCACCACCCACTATCGACACAACAACGCAAAGGAGACACGCAAAAGCGCTTCGTGATGCTTCGCAAGGGGATTGTGGCAATGGGTGGTCTTCCTCTTCCAACACACACACACACACACACACACACACACACACACACACACACACACACACACACACACACACACACACACACACACACACACACACACACACACACAAACACACACCATCAACACACGACCACAGAGATCTAAAGCAGCGTACCCTAGCGTACAAGCACCAGTGTACACAAGCACTAGCGTACACAAGCACCAGTGTACGGCTGCGGCTGCGGGCACCGTGGAGACACAATGACGATAGCAAATTCGCGGCTATGACCGTACCATTGGCCTGCTTTGAAGGCGACTGGGCGCTCCACACCAAGGGCAAAGGTCTTGATGGTCGGCGTGGCCTGCACGATGCGCTGCACAACAGCGCGCACAGCAGAGGGAGAGGTCATCACGTTCCGTGTTTGGAAGAAAATTCGCCGCCACACAACTCAATCGCCAACAATTGCACCTGCTGTTGTGGAGGAGGAGAAGAAGACAAGCCGCTTCAGCAAGCAAGCAAGCAAGCCAGCAGAAGCTAAACAGGCGCCAGCCAGTGGATGGGCTGACACGCCTCTGCCGACATGGAGGACGCCCACTTTATCGACGATGAGGAATGGGATCAAGTGGAGCAAGAGCTGGAGGAGCTGGTGAAAAGGTACGGCGTGCGTGGTGTAATGTAACAATGTGTCAAATCATGCCACAAAACCAAAACATGCCTTGTCCAGCCAGCTCACGCGCTTGTGAACATGGAATTGCCGAAAAGGGCGAGCAGGTATTGCCGTGCACTTCGTGTGTGGTGTGATTTGGATGCATTTGTACTCACCTTCGTGTCTCGTGTGGTTGTGGTCCGTGTTTAGGTCCTTGGATGGCTCTGGGAAGCTGGACGAGACCTTCGATGCGGACTTCTGGGAGCCGGCCGTGTCTGAAATGATGGCATCTCTCAACGCGTCCCTCGACGAAGACGCAGCAGCACTCGCAGCAGAAGACAGCGCAGCACGAGGTGACGAAGGCGACGTAGCCCCGGTTCGCGGTCCACGTTCGCCTGCGCCTGCACAGCCCGCTGATGCCTCAACACACGGTGAGCTGGCTGCGCCAGGCGTCGCTCCCGGTCTTGATGTCACGGATGATGACTGGGAGGCATTCGAGGCAGAGGTGAAGGCATCTGCGTTCAAGCGGGTATCCTCGAGCCAGCTGGAGCCGCTTGCCACGGCGACGACAGCAGCCAGCACCGCAGACGGCGACGACTGGGATGATGCCGTGCGTGAGCTGGAGCAGAGTTTCATGAGTGAGTTGATGGAGGAGCATGAAGATGCCGCTGTGGATGAGAACAGCGTGGCTGCGACACACAATGATGACACGCCATCACACGTGCAGCTGAACAAGGAGCGTCAAAGGCGGGACAACGGGGACAACCAGCCAACGGAGGAGCAGGAGAAGGAGGAGGAGGAGGGAAGCTGGCAACATGAGGAGGAGGAAGGAAGCTGGCAAAACGAGGAAGAGAGCGGGGGCGTCAGTGAAGCCAACGCTGGGCCAGATGAAGCACGCGGCCCCAGCCTCGACGCCGTCAGCAGTGGCAGCCTCGATGACAGCGTGATACCCGTTGCTGAAGACATAGTGCAGGACCTGATGACGGCCGCGCTTGGGCTCGTTGTTGACGATGCAAGCCACTCTCATGTGGAAACAGCAGGCCGCCGTGGAGGTGATACGAGTGTCGTCACTACAAATGCAGGTGGACACGTGGATGATGAGGATGACCAGCTGATGGTGGACAAGAATGGCGATGACGGCGCGACTGCAGTGATGGCAGGATTCGAACAAGTGACGGACGATGAGCTCGATCAGGCCATCATGGCCACGCTTGCACGCACTGAAACGGTGGCAACGGCGGTGGAAGACGAGGAGGACGAGGACGAGGAGGAGAAGGATAAAGATGGGGGCGAGGACGAGGAGGATGAGGAGGATGAGGCCAGCGATGAAGAGGACGAGGACGAGGACACAGCAGAGAGTGTTGTGGAGAAGCAGAGAAATGCTGTGTGCGATGAGCAAGAAGAGACGCTGCAGGACAGGGCGAAACTGCAAGAACTGCAATTCGCTGTACAGTCGTCCAGGGAAGACTTTGATCAGGTCAGAAACTTGTGTTTCTGATCGCCGTACGAGTGCCCGCGCTGGCCGTGGTTCAGCGCGCGCCACCTTCTGTCAAACCAAAAGCAGCATGCCAGCCAGCCGCAATTGCATGCTTTTGCACAAACGCATGTGTGTATGTGTTGGTATTTACGTGTGCGCGCGTGTGTGTGTGTGTGTGTGTTTGTATTTGTGTGTGTGTGTGTGTGCACGTAAATGTGTACACATGTGTCTGGGCGTGTCGCTCATCCATCTGCATCGTGCTTGTCCATGTTGTATTGTGGTTTTTCTCACAGATTCGAGCAAGTTTCCAGCAGCAGACGGCCGAAATGCGACATCAGCTGGCGGCAATGGCAGCAAGCATGATGTCCGCCGTGCAACAACAACAACAACAACAACAACAACAACAACAACAACAACAACAACAACAACAACAACAACAACAACAACAACAACAACAGCAGCAGCAGCAGCAGCAGCAGCAGCAGCAGCAGCAGCAGCAGCAGCAGCAACAACAACAACAGCAGCAGCAGCAACAACAACAACAGCACGATGAGAGCCGTGCATCAAGCGACAAGGCAGCTGCATCTGTGCGTGTGTGGCAGCGAGCAGCAGAGGATGCGCAGCAGCAGTTGGCGACGGCCCGCGATCAACATCAGCAGTTGCAGGCACAACTTGCTGCAGTGCAGGCGGAGTTGGCTGCTGAGTGCGCACGTGCGTCATCTCTTGCACCACTTGCAGAGCGATGTGAGGCGGCAGAGACGCTTGCGGAGCAGTACCAGCAAGCCGCAGCAGATGCACGTGCAGAGGGGAAGCGCAAGGAAGCGCAGACAGATGCGGCGAAGCAAGCTGCGGCAACGTATCGAGAAGAGATGGACGCATACAAGAAAGAGGCGAAGCGACTGGAGGATGAACTGCAGGACACACGTGCACGGCTGCACGCGACAATGGAGGACACACAGGCCGCCAAGAAGAAGGCAAGCAGGCACACGCGTGTATATGCAGCGGTTCACCCAAGTTCCTTTCCTTGCATTTATTTTCCTCTTGCGCATTTACGCGTGCATCACTGTCTTGTTTCACTCACACTTGTGTACACTTCGGCACGGTGAAGCGCATATTGACACCCATTGACACTCGCCCACCCCCTTCTGCCCTGCCCTAACCCTACACCCTTTTCTACTTCCACATCTCCCCCCCCCCAACACACACACACACACACATATATAACAGGTGGATGAGGTTGTGGCGGTGAATGAGGACTTGCTGTCGACGCTGTACCGACGCGACGAAGCAGCACGAGCGCGCGAGCAGGAGACAACAGCACAAATTTCACAGCTCGAAGCGCAGATTGCGGCCCTTCAGGACGAGGTGGCAACGCTGAAGACAGAGGGCGGCGAAGACAAGGCGGCGTGGGATGAAGAGAGGCAACGGTTGGAGAAACAGGCGGCAGCGTTGACGGAGAAGGCAAAAACTGCAGGAAGACAGGCGACAATGGCAGCGGCAAAGGCAGAGGAATTCCAGCAGCTCTTGCTGGAGAGAGATGAAAGCGTTACAGGCCTTCGAGCCGCAGTTGCAGACGCAAGCGCACAACACGCGGCGAAACTGAAGGTGCGTGTGTGTCTTTGTGTCTGTGTGCGTCTGCGAGTGTGTGTGTGTGCGTTTTCTGCGTTACAGTTGTACGCTTGTACGCATGTATTATAAACAATGGATGTATTCCTTCGTTTTGTTTTGCATGGATCAACTCACGTGCATGTGTGTCGCTGATGCTGGCTCTTTCTCCATCAGGCTGTTGAGGAGGAGCTTGCTGTCACCAAGAGCCAGCTCGAGACCAAGGCTGCGGGGGTTGTGACCCTTGAGGAAACTGTCGCGAAACAGAACAGCACCATTGAAGAGTTGAAGGCACAACTGAAGGACTCACAGGAAGCGCTGCGCGACCAACATCTCGAAATGAAGTGCGACACAATATATATCATGTGTGATATAGGCACGCGTACATGCCCATGTTGTTAAAAGAGCTCCTTGCAACCGTGCGTGTGTGCGTGTCTGTGTGTGTCTGTGTCTGTGGGTGTGGGTGTGTGGGGGTGTGTGGGGGGGTGTCTGTCTGTCTGTGTGTCTGTGTGTCTGTGTGTCTGTGCGCTTGTGTTGCCAGTACCCCTCCATTCACTCCCTCAACTCCCAACCTCCCCGATGTTTCCAACTTCCCGCATGCCACGACTGCGTCACAACATCACATCACATTCCACCAACTGTATAGATCGCTCGTGAAGGAAGCAGAGGACGGGCAGCGCAGTGAACTCGTGACGCTGCGGGTGCAAGCGCGCATGCACAACGCCGTTGTTGAGCGGTACGAAGCCAAAGTGGAGGACCTGACTGCCAGGAACCAGGGACTGGCCAAGGAACTCGCCGTGAGTATGCACATGTGTGTGTGCGTGTAGGTGTGTACGTGTGTATGTTTGCATGTGTGTATGTTTGTATGTGTTGTATTCGCACAGGCTCGTGTCCACATGCCTGCTCATGCAGACCTGCCAGAAAACCCCTCTCTCATACGCACACATGCGCGCTTATTTCTATATCCTTTAGGTGCTGCGAACCTCAACATCAGAGATGAAAACGAAGATCACCGACACATCAGAGCTCCAGCATCGCCTCGCCGTCGCAGAAAACATGGTGTGATTGTGGTGTGTACGGGTGTGCGGGTGTGCGTGTGCGGGTGTGCGTGTGCGTGTGTGCGTGCGTCTGCATGTATGTGCGTGTCAAGAAGGCAGCTGTTGGTGCCGATGCGTGCCTTGTTCCAATCCCTCGTACAAGTAACGATGCATGTGACGCAATATCTCTTGTGTGCGCAGGCCTCACTGCTGCAGACGGAAAACAGCGAATTACGGGCGCGTGTGTCGAAGGAAGTCGACCGGCGTGCGACCGCAGAGAGCGAAGCGACGACGTTCAAGTTTGACTATGAGCACATGCGCACCGTCAACGAACAGCTGACGGCAGAGGTGGAGGAGCTGCGCAGGCAAACGCAGCATTCGACTCCGGGTGTGGGCCTTGACTTCCTTGCTGCACCAACGACAGCGACCGCTGCTTCTGCGGCCCACACGTCCACGATGGGCACACCGCCGCCGCCTTCAACAATGTCGGATTACATGTCATCGTCTTGGCAGTCGCTGGCTGCTTCTTCTGCATCAAAGGCGTCGCCGTTCTCGCTCTTTCCGCTGCCGCCCAACTTCTACGCGCAGCAGCAGGTGCTGTGTGCTCGTCACTTGCTTGGGTCGTGTTGTAGTCTGCATGTCTTTGGTGCGGGTGTCTGCATTTGTCTGTCAGTATGCATGCGACCAACAGAGGTCTTTTGGCCTTCGCCAACACACGTTGACACACACACACATGCACACACACACGCGCGCGCGCACACACACACACACACATACACGCACACGCACCGACAGGCGACCACATCTTCCGCGCCTGCATCGGAATTGGACTACATGCGCGATGCAAGGCTTGCAGAACAGAGGTATGCAGTCGGGTGCATATGTGCGTGCGTACGTGCGTTGGTGTCAGTTAAACGTGTGGTTGTTTCGCTTTCCGTGCTTCACACCTGTCGCACATTGCGCAGTTGCCTGTGCTGCTCCTCCCCACCAACTCACGCCCACACGCCCACACACACACACACACACACACACACACACACACACACACACACACACACACACACACACACACACACACACACACACACACACACACACACACACACACACACACACACACACACACACACACACACGCACACACACGCACACACACACACACACACGCACGCACACACACACACACACACACACACCCTTTGTTCCTCTCCCATCGCCTTTTCCAGAGCGAAAGATTCGGAGAGGCAGGTCATGGTGCTGTTGGAGAAGCTCAAGCAGTACGAGACAGCTGCGCAGCACCCGACAGGTCCACAACCCGCACGCACGCGCCTGCTTTGTTGGTTGTGTGTGTGTGGGGGGGGGGGGTCTGAATGGCACAAATGGTATCTGCTCCTGCTTGGCGCGACTGTCTTTTGTGCACACTCACATTCTGTGGCCATCCTCTGCTCTGCACAGGTGCCATGACGGGCGCAAACGTGGTAGCGCTCTCAACACACAAACAGCTGATGGATCTGCTGGAGAAGCGCGCTGTCGACGCCGAGCGGAAGTCAGTGAGACCTGGCACGGTGAACTCGTTGAGCACCACATGTTGAGGGTTGTGCTGAGATTGACAAGCTCAGGGTGGAGGCATGAAGGCGCGATGGAGGTGTTGATTGCTGAACGTTGAAATGCGGGGTGAGGCGAGTAGTGCTGCTCAGCACACTTCTGGCACTCTCTCACTTCGTTCGCTGTATTTTGCCTCCCTCCTTTCTCTCTTCTCGTGTGCGGTGTTCTCAGGTGCAAGGAGCTTGAAGCAGAGAAGGTGGTGATGGACGGCCAGCTCTCCACTGCGCGTATGTTGCTGGAGGCCACGAAACAGGCACCACTCGCCACATCATCCTCAGTGGTGGCAGCAGCTGCTGCGGTGACGGGTGTCGACAGCAAACGTGCCGACGACAGCAAGGGGCGGGATGTGACTGCGGCACATCCACGTAAGCAGTCGTCGCCAGGTGATGCCGCTGCTGTTGCTGCAGCGCAAGGGCCTTTGAAGCTACACGATGGCAATGCACACACTGCAGCCGCTGCCGCCACCACAGACGAAGAAGAAACGCCAGGAGAACAAGTGGATGCTGGGCGTGGGGGAGATGAGAGCACTGCCTCCTCAACATCAACAACTGCTGCAACAGCAACGACGCACAAGAAGACGCCGCCGCGTGTGCGCACAAAGACACGCCGTCGCCGCTCCAAGCTGAAGAAGTTTGAGCAGCACAATGACAAGGACACGGCCACCAGCTCGTACGTGTGCACGTGTGCGTGTGTGTGTGTGTGTGTGTGTGTGTGTGTGGTGGGTGGTGTGTGTGGTGTGTGTGTGTGTGTGTGTGTGTGTGCGCGCGTGCGTGTGTGTTTGTGTTTGTGTGCGTGTGCGTGTATGCGTGTGTGTGTGTGTGCGTGTGTTTGTGTGCGTGTGTGTGTGTGCTTGCTCTGTGGTGGCTTGCCTGCCCCTGTTTGAAAGTGATCTTGCTTCTGACTTGCTTACCTGTGCACGTACTCCTTCCACCACTGTTCCTTCAGTGCGACATCAACCCCAAAACGGACCCCAGGAAAGCTTAAAGCCAATCTCCTCAGCACTGTCGCCAAGGTGCCATGCAAATCGCGCTTCGTCGTGCACGACGTTGATCTCTTGGATTGCCCTGTTCACAGCCACAAAAACACACACATGCACACATGTTTGTACACACATGAACTTACACGCACACACATACACACTCTTGTATACTCTCGCGCACTCGCACGCACGATGCCATCAGGTGGTGAACAGCCAGCAGCCGCTGACGCCACAGGACCTGCAGCGGCACGTGGCAGCGGCGAAAGTGCAGCGTGAGGGCGCACTGTCATCAGCAGCGGACGACAACAACGACGATTGTGGTGGCGGTGGCGACCGTAGTGCTAATGGTGACACTCGAACAGACTCCGGTGAGTTCTTTGAAAGTTGTATTGCTGCTGTCAACATCGTTGCTGAGGCGAAATGTATGCTTGACGATGTTTTGATTGCGAGAACCGCGCCCACACACCACAACTGCCAAGTCGTTTCCCTGTTCCCCCCCCCCCCTTTCCCCTTCCAAACCTGCACCCCTTCATCGTCCTTTTCACCCTCGAACGATCGCTCCTACGCCACCGCGCGACATGTATTTCGCGCCATGACAGATTCCGACTGGAGCGATTCTGGGGACGAAGGCGGACCACCGCCACCGCCGCAGCCACCAGCCGCAGCTCGGCAGCACGCGGGGGCATGGCAAGAGCATGAGTTGTCTGCCTCTCATGACCCCATGGCATCTTCACCATCTGCAACATCAGCGGCAACAGCGCAGCAGCTGACACCGCTGACGAACCAGTTTTCAAAGCCCATCCCACCCCGCCAGCGTCGCCTGCCATCCCGCCGACGAAAAGCGGACGTGACACCAACGGATCTCTTTGATGACTCGCCATCGCTGCCCATCACACCACCACCACCACAACAACAACACCAACAACAACAACAACAACAACAGCAGCAGCAAAGTAACCCAGACTCGAGTGCGGGCGCGAGCGTTACTACAATAACCACTGCAGCGGATGCCAGGGATGACGCTGACTCGGGTGGAGGCACGCATGCGGTGCCACCGACAAAGCCAAAGCCAAAAGTGAAGCCAAAGCCTTCGCCAAAACCAGCCAAACCCAAACCAAAGCCCAAGCCCTCGCCCAAGCCACCGGCCACGCCTGTTGCCTAACAACACATGCCTGCCTGGCTGACCGTTGTTGGTGGTGTTTGCCCTCTCGTGCTCCATACCGTTGTTATTCCCTTGTAATGTTGTGCTACCTACAACCTTCCTTCTTTTGCGTGCTTGGCCATGTTATTAGCTTGCTCCCAGTTTGCTTGTCTTCTTCGCTCTTGTTCTCCTTCATCCTAGCGTCAGTGCCCCTGCCTGCCGGTGTTCCTTGTTGTGAGCAGTACACAGGATAATGTAATAGCATGCAACCACACAACAACACACCACGCAATCTCTTGTGTGTGAACAAAGGGTCTTTGTTCACGTTCAAAGTTGCGTGCCCACGTCTCACCTGGGCATTTGGGCACAAGGTGTGCGTAGAGCTTGGCTGTATGAACGTGACGTGGCTGCTGATCTTGATGTGATGTGATGTGATGTGCTGACTGAGACTGGCGTTGTATCGACATACACGTCATGAACCTGTTCTCGCACATCACCCAGCAACAACGGCACACTGGCAGGGCTGTCACACGTTGCATCATCCCAGGGGAGCAACGAATGAACAATGGCTTGCTACCTCCCACGCTCACTCAAGCAGTCACGCCCATGCTCGCGTACACATGCCTGCAACGTTGTTACATGTCCTTGTTCATCTGTGAATTGCAGACCTTAACAGCCTACACAAGGCTGTAGGTCATGTCGCATATGTTGTGGCGTGGCCACATGCCGGTAAGCAGAACATTGATGACGACGCATCCGTTTGCTGACTTGCTGATGTGAATGTGCGCGTGTGCGCGTGCGTGCGTGTGTTCTCACGAACTGCAGACATCGTGTACGCGTACTCTCACTTTGTATCATTTTCCTCGACATTGTTCGTCCCTCGCACCACCTCTGGCTCGATCCCGATCCCGATCCCCTTCCACCCTTCCACCCTTCCACCCTTCACCATTCCACCCTTCCACCCTTCCACCCTTCCACCCTTCCACCCTTCCACCCTTCCACCCTTCCACCCTCCCTTGTGTCGGACCCAGCTTCAAGTACAGCCAAGATGATGTCTCGACGCGTTTCCTGCCGGTCAGGCCCACGACCGACCGTGGCTGCGGGCAGCTCCGTCAAGCCCCACCGCTTGATCTCCGACAAGAAGGCACAGTCCCCACTGTTCCAGACACAGCAGCACACCGAGCCAGCGCCGCGCACCCTCAACAAGCTGCAATTCCGCCTGCCAGAGCAGCCAGAGCAGCCAGAGCAGACGATTTGCAGGAGGTCGAGCAGTGAACCTGCACTCAAGACGCAGAGGAGCAGCGCTGCTGCTCACCAAGCAGGCCACAAGCCACACTCTTGTATCCGACCAATCTTCCTCTCAAGCGGCTCAGGCAGCAGAGCGCAGGTGCGACGGGGCAACGACAAGCGTGACGATGTTCCGCTGTTCCTGTTTCACGACAGCACGGGCGTAATTGAGCACTTTCGAAACATGCTGCCGGCTCTGGACCAAACCTGCTACGGCGTGCAGCTCGATGACGATGCGCCCCTGACGACGCTGCGAGAGCTGGCCAAGTATTACGCCCAAGCCATTGACAGGTTCCACCCTCGTGGCCCACTTCACATTGGCGGCTTTTCGCTTGGCGTGAAGACGGCTGCGCTGGCTGCGCTCGACCTCACGGCCCGCGGGCGAGAGGTGGTCAGCTTCGTTGGCATCGACGACACCATAACCTTCGACGCCACATACACGAGCGCTGCCTCCCGCCCGTTGGTGGTGGACGCCATGCTCAGCCTTCTAGTGAAGCCCGGTGCCAGCAGCCGTGACGCGCTTGGGAGGCTGCTGCAGACGTGCACCGACCGAGAAGAGTTGCAGGCGGCCGTGCTGTCATTGCCCGCTGATGAGTACTCGTCCATTCTTGCGCCGGTGGCTCGCAGCCGCCGTATGGCAATGGCCAAGCGGTTCGCCCGTTCCATCGCCTCCATCGCCGCGGCCATGTGCCGGCCCGAATTTGTTGGGGACGACCTGCGTGACGTGCAGCTGAAGTGCCCTGTGCTGCTGATTCGCAGCACACAACGCCACCGCCTCTCATTTGCACGCGCGGCCAACCTGCAGGGCACGTTTCCTGACACGATAAACGGGGAATCATCGACACCAGCAACCACGCGACTCTTGTCCTGCGTGCCTGAGGACTATGGCATCACTGCCAATGTGGCTGGCCGCGTGGATGTCGTCATTGTGGATGCCGCTCATCATGACATGTTTCAGGGCGACAACGCCAAGACCATTGGGTCCTACCTCTCCGCCTTTCTTCGCCTCCACTCCTGAGGGTGTTTGCCTTGCGTATGAGTTTGGTTGTTTGGTTGTGTGTGTGTGTGTGTGTGTGTGTGTGTGTGTGTGTGTGTGTGTGTGTGTGTGTGTGTGTGTGTGTGTGTGTGTGTGTGTGTGTGTGTGTGTGTGTGTGTGTGTGTGTGTGTGTGTGTGTGTGTGTGTGTGCCGGGGGGGGGGGCTTGCAGGTTTGCTTCCTCTCGTTTTCTTTGCGCGCTGTGTGGTGTCCGCCTTTTCAGACGGGTGTTGTACTGCGAGGGGTGCACTTAATAAACAAGACTGAATTCAGTCGAAAGATCGCTCCACTTTTTTGTTTTGCTACGATGCCGACGCAGACGCAAAGGGTGGCTGGTGAGTGAGTTTGTTTGGTTGGAATGGATGGGGCGAGAGAGCACACGACTGCGTGCGTGCGTGCGTGCATGTGTGCGTGCATGCGTGTGTGTGTGTCTGCAAGTGCTTGACCAAGCTACGTGTTGCATAAGAGACGCTTGACTTAACATTATGTGTTCGTTTGTGTATGTGTCTGTGTGTGTCTGTGTGTTCGCTTGTGCTTGGTTTTGCTTGTGCTTGGTTTTACTTTTTTGTTTGTGTGTAGTGGTCGCCCCAAACCTGCGGGAAGAAGAGTCCCTGTTGCAAGCGTTTGATGCATTGGAGCACCTGGAAAATGTGGTGAACAACGTCTTCAACCACATCTCCGAAGCGGTGCGTGTTACGTGTGTGTGATGTGGCATGGGACAGTGTGTGCACCTCGACGAACGGCTTGGGACCACTCGCTCTCGCTCTCGTGCTTTGCCTTTGCTTGTGTCACGCACGCTTGCCGCTCCTCCTGGCTTCACTGTTGACTTCGTCTTGAACACAGATTGATTCCAACAAGAAGGACCTGGTGGATGTGAACAACCGCATTAACCTGGCACGAGCCAAAGTCCAGAAGATGGTCGGCAGCTCCATGGCCACCACTGTCTACGCCAGGTATTTGTGCATGCGTGTGTGCGCTCGCTTGTGTGGGTGCTTGTGTGTGGGTGTGGGGGAGCTCGTGCATGTGTATTTGTGCTTGACTTTTGGGTCTCGCACACACACACACACACACTCACACACACACACACACACACACACACACTAACACTCACTCACAACTCACACACGCACAAACACAAACGCAAACGCACATACACACACACACACACACACACACCTTCAAACTGGGTCCAGTGCCAAGTATCCTGGGCCAGCCAAACTGGAGCCCTTGCCGCCGCTGTTTGATGGAGAAGAGCCCGAGCCGCCCTTCAAACCCAACACAGTCACATCGCGACACGTGAGTGGACATGGCACTTGCTGGCCTGCTTGCGTGTTGGCCCTTTGTCGTGTGCTCTTCTTCCCTCTGCCACCACCATCCATCACCACAAACTCTCGTTGATGATGATGCGCATGGACACGCGTCAATATGCGGCTTACATGTGTGCGTGCGTATATGTGCGTATTTGTGTGTTTGGTGTACGTGTTCCGACAGCCCCGCGTCGATCGTGAATTCATGGACAACAACTCCGTCATCTTCAGCATGAAGAACAACGTAAGCCCTGTGTGCGTACGCGTGTGTGTGTGTGTGCGTGTGTGTGTGTGTGTGTGTGTGCGTGTGTGCGTGTGTTGTGTGTGCGTGTGTGCGTGTGTTGTGTGTGTGTGTGTGCGTGTGTGTGTGTGTGTGCGTGTGTGTGTGTGCGTCTGCGCATCATTGCATCAACTTTAGCCATCACCGGCTTGCGTATGTGTGTATGTGTGTGCATGCCATGCTCATGTTTTCAATGCAACGGCCCCCCTTCCAGACTGTCGTGCGCAAGAGGGACCAGGCCATCACCGCAGACGAGGAAGAGCTCGAGGTGCATACACTCATTTTCGTTGTTCGTGTGTTTGCACCTGTTTGCTCATCTTCATGTGTTTGCGTTTCTGCATGTGTGTTTGTGGTGTCTTTGTTTGTTGCACTGCATCGTAAGTCCTGCCTTCCCCAACACACTCATTTGCAACTGCCATGTGTGCAACACACGACCGTGGCACTCATCACGACAGGGCCTCGGCAGCTTGCCCAAGAACCTGACGTCTGTCTCCAGTCTGCTGCTCTTCAACACAACAGAGAACCCGTACAAGAAATACGTCACTGTTGACCCCCTCCACGGCGCAGTCACCAAGACACGCGCGGGTGTGTGTGTGTGTGTGTGTGTGTGTGTGTGTCTGTGTGTGTGTGTGTGCGTGTGCGTGTGCGTGTGTGTGTGTATGTGTGTGTCTGTGTGTGAATGCTCGTTCATGTCACGGTTGTGTCTGCGTCTGTGTTATTGTCCCTCAAATCATCCTGACACAAACAAAACACACACCTAACCCTGCTGCAGACGTTGAGCAACAGAAGCTGCTTGCTGCTGCCCCCGAGACGCTGCTCAAGGGCGAGCGGTATGAGGCCATTGAGGGCGAGTCGTATCGCTATCTGCCGAATCTTGGCGCCGTGCCCGAGATTGAGGCGCCCTCCGTCCTCCCAGACCTCGCAGGTAACACCCGCTGTGGGCTGGGCTGTGTCTTGTGGGTTGTAGCTGTTGTGGTGTTCGTTGTGTTGTGTTGTGTTATGTTGTGTTGTGTTGTGTTATGTTGTGTTGTGTTGTGTTGTGTTGTGTGTTGTGTTGTGTTGTGTTGTGTTGTGTTGTGTTGTGTTGCGTCCTGTGCACCATCATCCTTTGACATCATCGCGAGTGCATCCGTCACCACCTCCTCGTCCGGTCCAGGCGTTGCTGACTTACGGTTTTCGGAGGAGCTGAACGACACAAACATTGCCCCATCCAGACTCATGTATGTTGCCAGTCTCTCCTCTTGCCCTACTGTGCATCTAAACACACACACACGCACATGCTGAATTGGATTCCCAGAGGGGTCGAGACAGAGTGTCGCGCGCGTATGTACACATGTGTGTGTAAGAGTGTGTGTACGTGCATGCGCATGTGCATGTGTATGTATGTATGTGCATGTGCGTATGCGTGTGCGCTCTCATTGTCACACTCACTCACCCACTCATTGAACACATTTTGACCATCTCCACGCCCACCGCCTCCATCCTCAACACCCGACCAACACCATCCAGGAACGTGCCAACGACAGCGGATATGGATACCGCAGCCCCAGCAGAGGCAACAGCGTACGTGTGTGTGTATGTGTGTGAATGTGTGTGAATGTGTGTGAATGTGTGTGAATGTGTGTGTGTGTGTGTGTGGCATACGTTTCGTCGTTTGGTTTGTGACATGTTGTGTGCTCTGGCTTATGGATTGCACCACAGCCAGCCTTTGGCCACACGCACACACAATTCACCGCACATTCACATGCCCATGTACACTGGTGCTGCTGCTCACGTCGTCGTTCCCTGTTGCTCCTCCTGCAACTGCTTCGTCTGTGTGTGGGTGTGCAGGGAGGGTGCGTCGGCGCCGCCACCGCCTGCAGACTCAACAGCACCGCCGCCACCACCACCGTCCACATCAGCACCACCACCTCCTCCTCCACCCGACTCTGGCGCGCCACCACCACCGCCGCCACCACCACCATCCGATGCACCGGTACCACCGCCACCACCACCAGCAACAGAGGCGCCCCTCCCACCCCAAGGTACGCAGGAGAGCATTGGTGTTGCGGGCCATTGGTTGGTTGTTCTTGTGGTGCGATACACTCGAGTGCACACACACACACACACACATGCATGCATCTGAGGACACACGTACAGCTCACGGTGTATGCATTCCTTGCTGGTGTGTCTTGGTCCAGGCGCGGGTGCTGCAGAGGAGTCGGAAGAGGATGAAGAGCCGGCAGAAACAGGGGTGCGTATTGGGGGTGGAGACTGGGCGCAAACCTGTACTTCTCCTGCTTGCAGTCGCTTCGTTTGCGTGCCATTCGCACACCTTGTGACCGTATGTTGTGCGCTGCAATGTGTACATGTGTGCGTGTGTGATTCCAGGGCGGCGGGCGGTCTGATTTGCTCGCAGCCATCCGCGGCAGCAGCATCAAGAACCTCAAGTCCATTAAGGCGCGTTTGCTTTGCGTGTGTGCAATATGTGTGTGTGTGTGTGTGTGAACATGTGTGTGTGTGTGTGCGTGTGCATGTGTGTGTGTGTGTGTTGAGATGGCTGAGGTTTCGTTCGCATTCGTATCGCTTCCCCTTTTGTGTATTTCGTTTTTCGACACTGACAATCTCCCTGTCACACCCATTCACCCCCTCCCCCATTCTGCGCTCGTTCTACCTTCTGTGCAGAAGCAGCGCAAGCAGAAGAAGAAGGCCGAGGCCAAGCCTGCTTCTCGCGGCATGGACCATATGGACATGCTCAAGAACGCCCTCGCTGTACGTGTGCTCTGCGTGTGTGTGTGTGTGTGTGTGTGCGTGTGTGTGTGCGTGTGTGTGTGTGTGTGTGTGCGTGTGTGTGTGTGTGTGTGTGTGTGTGTGTGTGTGTGTGTGTGTGTGTGTGTGTGTGTGTGTGTGTGTGTGTGCGTGGCTGAAGCGTTGCGTTTTGCTTGCGTGGTTGAGGTTGTAATTTTTTTCCCTCGCTGCTTTCCCTTGTCCTCATGAAGCATGCAAACTCCCCCGCCCTTTCCATTTCACCACCATCTGCCCACTGCACAGCGGCGGCGCTCTGCGCTGCATGGAGATGCGCCCGGGAAGAAGAAATCAAAGAAGAAGAAAGCAAAGAAGCGCAAAGAGTCATCAGATGAGGACGAGAGTGATGACGACGACGATGACATCCCCGCCCCATCAAGGGTGCGCATTCGTGCTGGTGCATGTTGTACTATTGTTGGTGTTGATGATGTTGGGTGCTGCTGATTGTTGGCTTGTCTGATTGAGTCGCCCTTCTCACGCCGTGCACGTTTGGCTGCTGCATTGTGATTGTTTTGCTGTGACATCATCAGAGCCTTCCAACGGGCGATCCGCTCAGTGCTCTGGCCTCCACCGTTCCCATTATCGGTGCGCGAGTGTGTTTGTGCTTGTGTGTGTATGTGTGTGCATGCGTGTGTGCTTGGTGTGTCTGTGTGTCTGTGTGAATGTGTGCATGTACGTGTGTGTCTGTGTGTTGTGAGTGTGCATGTGTGTCTGTGTGTGTGTCTGTGTGTGAGTGTGCTTTTGTGTTTGTGCTTCCCGCATGCGCGTCGGCGTACCGTTCTTGCGTTGCTTGCATTCATCGCATTCATTCGCTTTGTTTGTCTTGTCATTCGCGTGTGCAGAGGCTGACAGTGGCAGCGATGATGGCGGCGGCGAGTGGGACGACGATGAAGACGATGACTACTGAGCCGATGCTGTTGCCGATGCGATTGTTACTTGCTTACTTGCTTGCTTGCTTCGTGCTCGCTCTTGCACTTTGTTTGTGTTGCCCAAAACTGAAAACACCCCAACCCTCTATCTGGCTGATGGTGCTATTTTTAGCACTTTGGCGCCGCCAAATTTGTGATTTGACTCGAGAGAGCGGACATGAAACGCCAAGAATGGACACAAGAAGCACACACCAAACACCAAACAACAACAGCGACGGAGTGCAGCTCGCATCATGCTCAGGCGGCAGTGGCTGATGGCCGGTGAAGTCGGGGATGGAGATGAAGATGAACAGGCGAGCAAGCGCTCATTTACATTCACAACGCATCTCTCATCTCCACAACGCAGGCGAGCAAGAAGAAGGCAAAGGGCAAGACAACCAGCCAGCCAGACAAGTTTCAAGAGCACTGACTATCACCAGCTGTAGCAACCGGCACCATGGCACTGGTTCTGTGCAACAGCGTGGCCCGGGCAGGCACACCAAAGGATGTGGAAGTGGAAGACCTTCGCAAGGCATACGAGTCCCTTCCAGCCACCAACGGCAGGAGCAACAACAAGACGTCCACCGCACCTGCGCCGCGTTTCTCCTACAAGTTGGAGGGAGATGTGAGTGATCGTGAACATGTGTGGGTTGTGTGCGTTGTGTGCGTTGTGTGCGTTTTGTGTTTGTGTACGTGTGTGTGCGTCTGTGCGTGTATGCGAATGTGCGCCTGTGATTGCGTGTGTGCGTGTGTTTGTGCGTGTGTGTGTGTGCGTGTCACTGTGCACGGTTTGAGGGTCTGTTGTCAATCAGCCACTCACGCCAGCACGCCCAATCCCACTCCATGTCTACCATCGTAGACATGCATCCTGGACATTCTGGACACGGCTGGTCAAGAAGAGTTCTCTGGACTGCGAGACCTTTACATGCGCCAGAGCAACGCCTTTGTCATCGGTGAGTGTGTATGTGTGTGTGTATGCGCGCGCTGGTTGTTCACGAAACGGCATTAACCCCCCCCTCTCTCACACCCCCCCTCCAACGCCTTGCGTGTTGCTTACAGTGTACGACATTACGCGCCGTGATACCTTCGCCGAGGCGCAGATGCTGCCAACTTTTCTCCGACGCATCAACGACATCCAAGGCAGGCTTCCCATGGTACGGCAAGCACATCGTACGGATTTGGGAACTGTCTGCAGTTGTAGGCATGAATGGCTTCGGTTTGCGAAGCATGGTAGCATATGTGCTGGATCGCCTATGCATACACACACACTCTCTGTCTCTCTCTTTCACACACATGCACCTATTCACGCACACTTAAACACTTACACACATCCACGCACACACTTACACACTTTCACACACACACACGCATGCACGAACATGCACACATATGCACACGCACATCCCATTGCAGGTGCTTGTGGGCAACAAGGCCGACTTGGAGCACGAGCGTGCGGTGTCGACGATGGAAGGGCAGCAGTTTGCAGACAGCCTCGGCTGCTTGTTCTTCGAGACATCTGCTCGCACGCGTGTCAACGTGGAGCAAGTGTTCGTGGAGGCCGTCCTCTCACAGATCGGCACCGTCTTGCGTGATTGCAAGGTAGACTGCAAAAGTCGTGCTGGACTTGCTTGTTCAACACCTACACGACGCTGTGCATGTGTATGCATGTGTGTGCATATGTGTGTGTTTGTGTGTATGTGTGTGTGTGTACGTGCGTATGCGTCATACCTTGCAGCAGATGCTCAACACCATCCCCAACGCGCGCGCACACACACACACACACACACACACACACACACACACACACACACACACACACACACACACACACCTACACACACACACACACGGGTCCATGTGCAGGTGAGCGTGCTCGGCAGCGGCGGTGTTGGCAAATCCGCCTTAACGGTGCAGTTTGTGCAGGGTGTGTTTGTGGAGCAATACGACCCGACAATTGAAGACTCGTATCGGAAGTTTGTTACCATCCCCGGCCTGGGGGCGCGCATTGCTGCAACCACCCAGAGCAAGAAGAAGATGAAGAAGACGAAGACGAACACGAAGCACAAGACAAAGGGTCACACTGGCCAGCAGCAGCAGCAGCAGCAGCAGCAGCAGCAGCAACAACAACAAGGCAGTGCAGGTGGTGATACGCATACGCGCGCTGGTGGGTTTTGGTCGAAGATGCGCTCGCTCTTCACTTCTCGCAGCCCACCACCATCACCATCCAATGCGCTAGCAGCACCAGGGACTGTCACCACTGCAGCGTCACCGTCGTCGTCGTCATCGTCGCAGAAGGAGCAGAAGGAGAAGAGCTCACAGCCGACCATCAAGATCCATGGCGTCACCACTAACGGAATTGTGGTTCGTGTGCGGCTGGCTGTGGTGGTGAATCATGCATTGCAGGCTCATTCAACTTGTGCTGTCTACACAGCGAGTCAGGCTTGCGTGGTACCATGCACACACACACACACACACACACACACACACACACACACACACACACACACACACACACACACACACACAACTGTGCAATGCGTGCGTGCTGTTCTCGACGCTTTAGGTGCAGTTTGGGGCGCTGGGCAAAGGGTTTGAGCCATTTGACGTGTCGCCTGTCCACTGCATGGGGTGCAACGCCGTCCTCACCAAGTCGAGCATCAACTCCGCGCCACCAACATCACCAACGCCATCGAGCGCTGGACAGGACAAGAACGCGCACGCGTGGGCGTGTGCACTATGCGGACATGTGAACGCACACGTTGATCTGAACACGGAGCACTTCCCATATCTCGACTGTGCTGACTTTGAGCTCACGCCGTCACCGCTCGCCACCGCCACCGACAACGACAATGCACTGAAGCAGCAGCAGCAGCAGCAGCAGCAGGAGCTTGATAACATGCCCGTCGTGTTTTGCCTCGATATCAGTGGCTCCATGGCCACCACGCTGCCCGTCCCAGACCTGCAGGTGTGTGTGTGTGTGTGTGTGTGTGTGTGTGTGTGTGTGTGTGTATGTGTGTGTGTGATGGAGCAAGCATAAACTCATATCATGACGCCCGCCCCTGCACCGGTACACCACAGGCGGAGTGGGCCAACCTTCGTAGTGGCGGCGGCGGCGCTGCCTCTGGCACCAAGCACGTGTCGCGCCTCGACTGCCTCAAGACCGCCATCATCCGCCAGCTGGAACACCTCGCCGTAACGGCCCCAAACGTACGCACGCAGCTTGTGTGTATGTGTGTGTGTGTGTGTCATCACGTGTACGCGTGCATTGCATGGCCTGTGCAGTTCTATCTATCTATCTATCTATCTATCTATCTATCTATCTATCTATCTATCTATCTATCTATCTATCTATCTATCTATCTATCTATCTATCTCTCTGCTTTGGCGAGCTTCACGCAAACCTCACGCGTTGCACACATGTGGTGATGGTTGTACAGCGCCGTGTTGTGCTGGTGACGTTCTGCAGCTCCGTGTCCGTGTACGGCTCTCCAACAGCGGCCCCCGTCCCGCTCGACGCCAACAAGAGCGTAAGCTGCGGCTGTGTGCAGGACCTGGTGTCCTTGGCTGTGTTTGCGTTCTCTGCGCAGATGTATCTGTACGTGTGCCACAAGTGTTGAGAACCCCAATCAGCAGTTCAACCTTTTGAGCTCACACACACACGTACACACACACACACACACACACACACACACACACACACACACACACACACACACACACACAACCACATATCAGGTGACGGAGGCCGTGTGGGAGGGAGCGCCACGTGCGGCGGTGACAGACGCGCCGTCCATCTCCGCCTGTCTCGACGAGTGGCGCGCGCTCATCAAAAGCCTCCATCCTCGCGACTCCACGGCACTCGGACCCGCACTCGTCACGGGCACCGCGCTCGCAGCGTCGTTGGCAGACAAGTCGGAGCTGTTCCTGTGCACGGATGGACTGCCGAACGTTGGCGTTGGCCGAATGGACACGTACTCAGCAGACACCGCCTTCTACTCCACCATCGGCGAGCGCGCGAAGGAGGGTGGTACTGTCATCCGCATCATCGGAACAGAGGGCCAGGAGTCGCAGCTGGAGCACGTGTCCGCATGTGCGATTGCGTCAGGCGGGTCCGTTGTGACGCTCAACCCGCTTGAGCTTGCGCGCCAGATTCGTGCGCTCTCGCAAGACGAACTGGTGGCGCGAAATGTGCTCGTGGACATTCGCATGCCGGCGTGCTGCCGCCTTCGCAGTGACATTGACGGTCTCAGCGGCGCCGCTGCCGCGACGACAATGAAGGACACAACGGAGACGAAGAGCAATACTGCGGGTGGTGGTGATGATGCAATGAAGAAGGGCAGTACCGCGGGCAAGAACAGCTCGGCATTGTCATCGCCAGCGTCATCCTCGCCTGGCAAAGTTGCGAGTGCGCCGCCGCTGTCGCCATCGGCGTCACGACATCACAAAAGGAGCCAGAAGCGCTCAGCAGCCACTCGAACCACATCACTCAAACTGGATGTGGGCAACGTGACGAACAACAGCGATCTCGCGTTGTGTTTCGACGTGGACAAGGCGGCGGTGTTGCCGGGACAGCAGCTCAACGTGCAGGTCATCGTGCACTTCACAGCAAAGGATGGATCAAGGTGTGTGTGTGTGTGAGCGTGAGTGTGTGTGTGTGTGTGTGTGTGCGTGAGCGTGTGTGTGTGTGTGTGTGTGTGTGTGTGTGTGTGTGGGAGGGGATGGGGGTTTGTGTGTACGTGAGAGAGAGAGAGAGAGAGAGAGAGTGTGTGTGTGTGTGTGTGTGTGTGTGTGTGTGTGTGTGTGTGTGTGGGAGGGGATGGGGTTTGTGTGTACGTGAGAGAGAGAGAGAGAGAGAGAGAGAGAGAGAGTGTGTGTGTGTGTGTGTGTGTGTGTGTGTGTGGGAGGGGATGGGGTTTGTGTGTACGTGAGAGAGAGAGAGAGTGTGTGTGTGTGTGTGTTTGTGCCTTGTTTGTGTCATGGTTGCGTTTGTTCATGTGAGTGCGTGCATACTGCTCTGTTTCGGTCTCCAAGTGTGTTTGTGTTGGTCGCTATCCTGTCGTGTCAAGATTATGCTGCTGCACCCCTGACACACGCAATTGCTTTGTGCTGTGTGTGTGTGTGTGTTTGTGCGTGTTTGTGCAATGTCAGGCGCATGCGCGTGTTGAGCGGCGAGATGACGGCAGCTGGAAGTGACGACGACTCTCAAGTAGATGCCGCCGCCCTCGCCGTCACATGTGCACAGCGGTACGCACCCACGCACACTTGCACGCTCTCATCTTGCTGTTCCACCCATCAGCACCCTCGAATGCGGCAGACACACCCATCACAGTCATTCCACGTCCGGCAGCCATTCCAGCTCCCATCACTCATGTCCCTCACATCACAACGTCTGATATGCACAGGTGCGGTCGCCTTGCTCTCGCCAAGCAGTTCCGGGAAGCATATGAGCTCTACCTTGCATACAGGGCAAAGCTCCAGTCACTCACAGACAGCGAGAGCCAAGTGGTACGATGATTTCTGAGCGCTCTGAGTGTGTGTGTATATGTGTGTATGTGTTGTATGTGTGTGTGTTGTGTATGTGTGTATGTGTTGTATGTGAGTGTGTGTGTGTGTGGGGGGCCGGCTGACGTGTTGTTACACGTTGGCACTGCGTGAGTGAATTGCCGTACTGACATGTCGCAATTGTGTATGCATCCGTGTGCGTGTGTATTGTGCAGGAGGAGTTTTACTGCTTCACCCAGGAGACGCAAACGCTGCTCTATGAGCTGTCACAGCTCGTGAACCAGAAGAAAGCAGCCACCCGCGTCCCAGACCGCAGCGTCAAGGTGTGTGCGTGTGTTGTGTGTGTGTGTGTGTGTGAATATGCGCCCGTGAGTACATATGTGTGTGTGATCAAACTGCCAGTGCGACCGTGCTCTTGTGTGTCCTCAAATGTGTCTTCAAGTCATGTAGCCCTCACGTATCACTCACGTGATCATCACCACCACCACGATCGGCAACGTCCTTGTCACCATCATGGCGATGGCAGGTGTTCCAGGCGATGCAGCGGTCACACCTCGTGCAGTTTATGGGCGGTGCGCGCAAGAACGACGTGGTGAAGAGGAGGAAGGGGACGCAGGAGCTTGCAGACCAATACTACTCGTACCGCTTCGAGTGATGTGTGTGCTGTGTGTTGTGTGTGTGTGTGTGCGTGTTTTGTACGTGTGTATGTGTGTTTGGTCACTGCCATTCATCATGGCTGTGTGTTTTGCATGGTTTATTCCCCTGCACGTGGCTCTGGCCATCCATTTGTGTTGTGCGTTCTTTCATAGCGCATGTGAATGCCCATGTGTGCTTGTTACAACATTACGTGAATGATTTCGATTTCATTCCAACGCATATTGGCATCTGTTTCTCTCTTAACGGCCAATTAAAACTCAAATGCACACTCCCGTATCATCAGCCCCGCGACACGTTCAGCGCTCAACAGTAACAGTCGCAGCAGTAACAGTGGCAGTAACAGCAGCAGTGACAGTGGCAGTAACAGCAGTAGTAACAGTGGCAGTGGCAGAACACCAGTGGCAGAAGCAGTGGGAGTAGTGGCAGGCACGTTCGCCTCCTCGCAGCTCTCTGAGCTCCGGCACGGCCTAGGTTGCGCAGGGTCGGGTACGTCATGGCTTGCCTTTGGGCTTATCCTTAGGCGGATCAACAATGCACTCTTCCTTCACCTGGAGGCAAGGGAAACGAGGATGAGGATGAAACCTGCACTGGCACGCACAACTGCACTTGCAGTGTCATACCAGAACGCACGAACACCCACACACCCACACCCACACCCACACACACACACACACACACACACACACACACACACACACACACACACACACACACACACACACACACACACACACACACACACACACACACACACAACTCACACACAAACACAACACACAACACGTCCATGAACACTCTCATACATGCACACACACGCGCGCGCGCACAGTAGCCTACCAGGGTCTTGCCGCGCTTCTTCTCAAAGGTGACTCCTTCCTTCTTGAGCAGCGACACTTTGTTGCAAAGCTGTTTCGACTTTGGATCGGTTTGGCCGCTGAACCCGCCGAGAGCGCGACTGGATGCAATCACGCGATGGCACGGCACCATCTGCATTGGGTGCAGGGGCACCGCATGTACGTTAGATGCAGAAATCAACGGAGGAGGAGCCAAGAAACCACTCAAACGACATTCTATCATGAATCCGCACACAACACAGCACGCACACCCAGCCATGAGCATACAAGCACACACACACACACACACACACACACACACACACACACACAACACAGCACGCTCACGCAACCATGGGCATACAACACAGCACAGCGCACAGATATACCTCGGGCGGATAAGGTGGCGCCGTGTAGTTGAGCATGGCAAACGGGTTGTGCCGCATGGCTTGTCCAATGGCCTGGGCACTGCCACAATCCAAGGCTCGAGCCAGGCGCCCGTAGGTTGTCACCTTTCCCTCCGGAACCCTCCGCACTAGCTCAAACACACGCGCTACCATGTGTGTGTGTGTGTTGATGTGTATGTGTTTATGAGATGGAGGATGGTGAGTTGGTGATGGATTGACTTGCCATTGAAGAACAAACAAACAGCAGTCGTCCCGTCGAGTAGAGAACACCCACACAGGTGCGCGCGCATAGAGAGTCGCACACAGAACCTCAAAAACACTCACATGCAAACACACACATACACAACACGCAACACATGACACACAACACACAGAGGCACACACACACGCACACCAAACCCAGATGCAAACACATACCTCGAAACGCAGACACCTGCGGTTTCGGCTTCTCTTCTTGCTTTGCCCTCTTGCTATTGGCATGTCCACCGCGGTTATCAGCATTCGCGTGCTCGACGCCATCGCAGCCATCCTGTGCCGTCTTTCCTTCCTCGCCACGTGATGCGTTCCTCTTCGCCATCGCTGTGCTGCTGCTGTTGTGGTGTTGATCCACCGCCTCGTCCGCCCAGTGTCGCCGAAAATTCACCGCATCAGCGCACGATTTTCTACAACCACAACAGACAACAACGACGATGGATGACTTGGAGCGCTTTGGGGCGCTGTCAAAGTGAGCGAGCGATCTTGCCTTGCCCGGGCTTGCTTTGCCTGCTTGGATTCTTTGGGTTGTAATGCTGCTGCGGGTGGTGATGTTGTTGTTTTGTTCTTGCTGTAGTATTTGGTTGACTGCTCTGCCATAGCACACACGTTCGCTCCCAGCTTCAACAACGTTCCGAACACGAGCATTGCAGCGCGCGCTTGTCAGTCGATGACTACACCTCTTTCCTTCCACATGCATGCGCGCGCACACTTGCACACACACACACACACACACTTACACACACACACACTTACACACACGCGCACACACACTCACACTTACACCCGCGCTTGTTGTTTGTCAAAGACAACTGTTTGAGGCAGTTCGGCAATGGCCTGTGCCTGCACATGCCGCCACGAAATGCAAGGAGGTTTGTGTCGAGTCACAAACGTGCGCTTGTGTGTGTGTGTGTGTGTGCGTGTGTGTGTGTGTGTGTGTGTGTGTGTGTGCGTGTGTGTGTGTGTGTGTGTGTGTGTGTGTGCACGTACTGATAGGGGTGGTCCATGGTGTTGTTGGGTCAACAGTTGTTGCGAGCGTTGGAGCACACACAGCGGCGCCTCACGGACGTCGCTGAGCTCTATGACCACAGAATAGACTTGCAGCGCCAGATTCAGGTGTGAATGCGTCCTACTCCACTCCTGTGTCGTGTGCGTGCGTAGCTGCCGTGTCGTGTTTGCAGCACTTCCCTCATTCATTATGTCCCTCATTGTGTCCCTCATTGTGTCCCTCATTATGTCCCTCACCATCTCCCTCACCACTGCGCACACGATGAACACGAATGCTCGCTGGGTGCCAGGCGCTGCGGAAAGCACAGCAATCCAGGGAAGAAAAGACGCGCCAGGAATTGACGAGGTTACGGTCCGTCGAAGCATCGCTGGTCAGTCTGTCAGAAGCCACCCTTGAGCACAGCCAATTGTTGTGCGTATGTGCATGTGATCGTGTGATTACGCCGCAGCACTTATCATCTGCTGTTGCTGCTGGTCTTGTTCTTGTTCGTGTTCGTTTTTATGTTGTTGTTGTTGTTGTTGTTGTTGTTGTTGTTGTTGTTGTTGTTGTTGTTGTTGTTGTTGTTGTTGTTGTTGTTGTTGTTGTTGTTCATGTTCATGTTCTTGTTGTTGTTGTTGTTGTTGTTGTTGTTGTTGTTGTTGTTGTTGTTCATGTTCATGTCCATGTTCTTGTTGTTGCTCTTGCTCTTCATCTCCTCCGTCGCCTTTATGCCTCGTTGTGTCCGTGAACAGGATGAAGTCGTACACCTCTCCAAGAAGAAGTTGGCGCACGTCGAACGGGCAGAACACAGTGCGTACTCAGCCCTTCCCTGCCGTGGATGGAGAGGGAGAGGCTGCATGTGACACCGTGTCCCGTATGTACTTGGACGCGTATGGATGTGTGTTGAGGTGTCTGAGCTCATGCTTGCGTATTTGGAAAATTATCGCGGCGTCGTTTTACACTATGCAGCTGCTCCAACATGCTGACATGCCATGACCTCCCTGTTTCTGCTGCCATTCCTTCGACTTGCTGTCCCTGCAGCCAATTTGGATGTGGGTGTGCTGCTGCGGTACGCCCACCTCATCAGCACTTCATACGCCACTTCTGCGCCAAAGCACTGGAACGCCGGTATTGTGTGTGTATGTGTACGTGTACGTGTATGTGTGTGTCTGCCTGTGTGCGCACCAATGTGCGTGTGTGTGTGTGTGTGTGTGTGTCTACATGCGTCTCTCTCACTCACACACACACACACTCTATCCATTCATCCATCTTTCTCCATGTGCGTGTGTGTGATGCCATGTGCTTCCAAACGCAACTCACTTGCATGTTGCGTGCAGATGATCCGCGACGCCCATATCCGCAGGAGATGGAGCTCAACAGTGGCATCCTCCCCTCCGTCGCCGCAGGTGTGACACACATACACACACAACACACACACACGCACACACACACACACACACACACACACACACACACACACACACACACACACACACACACACAACACAAACACACACATACACACACACGCACACATATACACAACACACACATTCATGTACACACAGAACCACAACCGCATCCATGCAAAGCACCTTCATTGCCTCCCCGCCTCCCAATTCATAAGACCCCCATTTGCTTCTCTTGGACTTGCTCGTGGTGCAAATGGTGTTTATTTATTGCGCAGAGATGAAGCAGCGGCGAGTGGCGCGAGTAGGCGGTGGCGGTGCGGGTGATGGGGAAGACGAGGAGCATGAGGCAACGACATTCTTCCAGCAGCAGTTGCAGCACCAGCCGTCAGCCGAACCGCCAACAGCAGCGCTGCTACAGCAGGTAATGAATGCGCTTGTTGTTGTTGTTGTTGTTGTTGTTTAAGTTGTTGTTGTTGTTGTTGTTTAAGTTGTTGTTGTTGTTTAAGTTGTTGTTGTTGTTTAAGTTGTTGTTTAAGTTGTGGTTGTTGTTGTTGTGGTTGTGGTTGTTGTTGTTTAAGTTGTTGTTGTTGTTGTTGTTGTTTAAGTTGTTGTTGTTGTTGTTGTTGTTGTTACCAACACACACATGCGCACTCACTCACTCACTCACTCACTCACTCACTCACTCACTCACTTTCTGACTAGCGCACCTCTGCGGAAGATGAGGAAGGGTTGACTGCAAGTGAAGGTGCGCCTCACGCCAATCCTCGACTGCAGTGCCACTTGCTCCCCGGCTTTCATGCTTCCTGTTCTACATATCTGGGTCCAGCTCATATTGCGTGTTGTGCCTTTCTCACATGCACACGCACCCAACACGCCATCTGCTTGGCATCCATGTGTGTCTGTGTGTTGTTATGTTACCAGCTGGGGGCGAAGAGCAAAAGGTCAAGCGAGCAAAGACCGTGGGATCGTCAACGGAGACATCAGCAGCGCCAGCCAAAGATCAGGTGCACACCATCATTGTGTGTGTGTGTGTGTGTGTGTGTGTGTGTGTGTGCTCGTAGTGGGGGGGGGGGTTGGCTGAATTGAACAAAACACGACACCACGTGACTTTGTCATGTTGTTACATTGTCACACTGATTCGCAACACTTCATTTCGCACCCATGCGTGCACGCGCATCATGCCACATGTTGCAGGAGTTTTATGTGCCGGACGAGTACCTTGATTCGGATGATGAGTCTGGTTCTGACTTTTGAAACAGTGTTGAGTTTGTTCCGCAGCATCTCCGACCCGTGTCTCCTCTGCACGTCTCCGTTGTGTTGTTCTGCGTTGTGTTGGCGTGTATTTGTGTACATAGCAGGAGCCTCTTGTTGCGTTTGTGTCAAAGTAAAACGAACCACGTGGATATGAACATGTGGTGTGCGTATGTGTGTGTGTGTGTTTAGTTTGGTTTGTGTGCGTGTGAGGCTCACGAGCACGAGAGTGTGCGAGGTAGAGTTCTGTCTGTTGGTGAGCTAGCTTGGGCTCTTTCGTTTGTACATATTTGACTCTGGTTTGTGGGTTGCCCTTTGGGCCTTTGTTCGAGTGTTTCTGGAGTGACATGAAGTACAAATACACGTCAGTGTTCTGTATGGTGTGAACGTGACCATGACACGCAATGTGCATCAGTGACATCATGTTCACGTCATGTCACAACAGTCGCGAAACCTAAACAAACCCAGTTTATGCTGTCGTGGCCAGTTTTTCGCTCGTCGCAACGGCCCTTCAACAACAGCCAACAACCACCTAACATAAAACCAACGCACACCATGCGCGGCAAAGTTGGAGGTGCCGACAACGTACGCGTGTGCGTGCGCGTGCGCCCGATGAACACCACAGAGGAAGAGACTGGCTGCAAGAATGTCGTGTCCGTGGATGAACAGCGGTGAGGGAGCGTGCGGTTGTGTGCGTGTGTGTGTGTTTATGGATGTTTGCGGAGATGTGTGTGTGTTTATGGATGATTGCGGAGATGTGTGTGTGTGCGTGTGCGTGTGTGTGTGTGTTTGCGGATGTGTGTGTGTGTGCGTGTGTTGTGGATATGTGTGCGCGATGTGAGCTGCTATGACACAGCTGCGCGACACAACAGCGCGACACAGCAGTGCGACATTGCATGAGCTGATCTCCTTTTGACTGGCACGTTTTCCAGAGGCTCGGTGACAGTGAATCACCCATCCGGAGGACAGCCAGCGAAGACGTTTTCCTTTGACCATTCCTTCAACGCCAACGTCAAACAGGTGGGAGCAAGAAGCTCAAGCTCATGTGTGTTCGTGCGTGCCTGCATGTCCACAACTGCATTGATCTTTGTCAGGCCATCCTTTATTGCACTCCTTGATTGGCTGCTCGACCTGCATGTGCCCAATGCATGCCAGCCCTCTGCTGCCAGTCTGTACTCCTGACAACATCATCACTCCCCACCCCAACTTGCTTCACTCGTGTGCCAGGTTGACGTGTACAACACAACCGCAAGACCAATTGTCGAGGCTGCACTGGAAGGTTACAATGGCACCATCTTTGCATACGGACAGACTGGCACAGGCAAAACATACACCATGGAAGGTGTGTGTGTGTTGTGTGTGTGTGTGATTGCGTGTGTGTGTGTGTGTGTGCGTGTGTGCGTGCATGTGTGTGTGTGCGTGCATGTGTGTGGGTGTGTTGCTTGTGCGTGCGCGCGCGTGTGTGTACGTGCGTGTGTGTGTACGTGTGTGTGTGTGTGCGTGTGTGTGTGGGTGTGTTGCTTGTGGGAGCTTGCACGCTGGTTTGCGTGTATGCCCATGTGCGTTTGCTCGTGTGCAAAGTGGCAGACATGAAGCATGTGGCGGTTTTTTCTGGCTGCCCGTGCGCACGTAATGCCAAGTTTGACATTGCACGATTCTGTCTCACGTTCACCACTTTGCAATCCACCCCCCCCCCACCCTCCTCGGGTGGCGTGTCTGTCAGGCGTGCGGTCTGTGCCGGAGAAGCGGGGCATCATCCCAAACTCCTTTGCCCACATCTTTGGCCAAATCTCAAAGGCCGAGGGAAACGCTCGGTGCGCATGTCATTGCCGTCGCTTGCTCTGGTCTATTATATTAGCACACCAACGCACTGCGCACCGCGCACTGTGCACCGTGTTATATGTGCGTGTTCGTGGGTTGTGTACGTATGTACGAGCTCACCACGTACACACACACACACACGCACATACACAAAACTGTACACACACACAACCATTCACACACATGCGCAACACACACACATGCGCAACACAGGTTCCTTGTGCGCTGCTCGTATCTTGAGATCTACTGTGAGGACGTTGTGGACCTGCTTGGAGACGTGTCCAAGAAACTGGACGTGCGTGACGCTTCACATGCTTGCAAACGCGGAGAGAGGGGACAGGCAACACCTTGAATCGTGTTGTGCTGCGATGTTGGTTGTGCATGTGGTGCTATTGTTGGAGGGCATGGGCACATGGTGGGCAGTACTGCCGGTGGATGATGGACGCCTGTGTCGGTGTTTGACAACCTGGCACATCCCTCGCTCACACACCTACACGCGACACGTGTAAACGCACACACACACACGCACACGCACACGCACATACACACACACACACACGCACACGCACATACACACACACACGCACACACACGCACGCGCACACACACCTACACGCGACACACACTGTGGCTGCAGATCAAAGAACACCCAGAGTCTGGTGTGTTCGTTCAGGGGCTGACACAAAAGATCGTGAAGAGTGCGGAGGACATGGACACGCTCATGACGCACGGCAACGCAAACCGTACGTGTGTGTGTGTTTGTTTGTTTGTTTATGTATGTGTTTGCGTCTGCACATGCACTTGTGTAATTATCTGTGTGTGTGCGCGCGTGCGCGCGCGCGCGCGTGTGTGTGTGTGTGCTATTGTGCTTTTTGACACGTATGATAAACACCGTTACCCTTCGTGCGCCTCACTGCATCGCGTATCACGCTTGTACTGGTTGTGCCTGCAGGCAAAGTTGGAGCCACAAAGATGAACAAGCAATCCTCTCGCTCCCACGCCGTCTTCACCATCATGATCGAACGCAGCGAAGTGGTGTGTGTGTGTGTGTGTGTGTGTGTGTGTGTGTGTGTGTGTGTGTGTGTGTGTGTGTGTGTGTGTGTGTGTGTGTGTGTGTGTGTGCTTGATTGATTTGTCTCTATGCTTGAGCCCCGGCGGCCCTCCGTGCATTTTCACACCAATCATCATCCTCGCCTCGTGCGCGCGCACGCGCGTGTGTGTCCAGGGCGAGGATGGGGAGGAGCACGTGCGCATGGGAAAGCTGAATCTCGTCGATCTTGCGGTCGGTGGCACCAGCGTGCACATGCAACACACACACACACACACAATACACACACACACCGCATAATCATCATCATCATCATCATCATCATCATCATCATCATCATCATCATCACCATCATCATCAGGGATCTGAGCGGCAGAAGAAGACGCGAGCGGAGGGGCAGCGGCTGCTGGAGGCGAACAAGATCAACTGGTCCCTCTCCTGTCTTGGAAACGTCATCTCAACACTGGTGCGCACGCACCAGAAGTTGCTGTGTGTGTGTGTGTGCGTGTGTCCGAGTGTGGACATATGTGCGCGTGTGCGTTTGTTTGCATTTGTTTGCGTGTTGCTGTGCAGCTTCCCTGTGCGTTTTCAACCCTCCCCCTCCAACAACATCACGACCTACTGCTGCTGCTGCTGCTGTTCATGTTGTTCATGCTGCTGCTGCTGCTGCTGCTGTGCCTGCAGGTTGACGGCAAGTCGAAGCACATCCCCTACAGAGACAGCAAGCTCACGCGTCTCCTCCAGGACTCGCTCGGTGGAAACGCAAAGACAACAATGGTTGGTGTTGGTGCTGGTGGTACGTGTGTGCGTGTGTGTGTGTGTGTGTTTGTGAGGAATTGGGTGGAGTGTGCCGTCAGTGGTGACAGGTGCACGCGCTGTATTGCTATTACTTGTATTTCACTCGCACACGTTTAGAACTCATGTGGTCACTTCCCAATCAACCACGACCATCACTCTTCGTATCATCGCAGATTGCCAACTTTGGGCCTGCCGACTACAACTACGACGAGACGATCAACACGCTTCGCTATGCTGACAGAGCAAAGCGCATCAAGAACAAGCCCAAGATTAACGGTACAAGGGCGACAACGCCAGAATGTGTTTGTGTGTGTTTGTGTTTGAGCGTATGAACTCATTGTCACACGGTACGCATTGTTCTTCGTGAAAACTCCCATGCACTCTCTCTCTCTCTCTCGCACACACACACACACACACATACATGTGCACACACCTGCACACCAACACGTAAAAACCAATCATCCACGCGTTTTCTTGCTCCCTCCTTCTTTTGTTTGCTTCAGAGGATCCCAAGGACGCACTGCTGCGCGAATTTCTCAAGCAGATTGAGGAGTTGAAGCAACAGCTGGGAAACGAACCTCAAGGGTACAATGCATACGGTGTTGTGGTGTGTTGTGGTGTGGTGTGTTGTGGTGTTGTTGTGTGGTGTGTTGTGGTGTTGTTGTGTGGTGTTGTTGTGTGGTGTGTTGTGGTGTGGTGTGTTGTGTGCCGGTCGGCCTGTCTGCATGTGTTCCGCGTGCTTTCTTGGCTTTGTTTTTGCTTTTTTTGTCCTTGTATCTGCGTGCTGATGCCTCCCTGTGCCCTCTCGTTTCCTCACCCCATATCCCACCTCTTGTTCTTCGTCCACTCCTGCGTTTCTTTGCATGTACACATGTCCACCACGTGCTGTCGTGTTGCGATGCACAGCTCTGGCGACGAGGAGGAGGAGGACAGCTCGGAGGAAGAGGAGGAGGAGGTTGTTGGCTGGGACGGCACTGTTGTCAAGAAGAAGAAGCCAAAGCGCCGCAAAGGCCGCAAGAAGAGCCAGGTATGGTGTGGTGGTGTTCTTCAGTGTGGTGATGTGGGTGCATGTGTTTTTGTGTGCATGTGTGTTTTTGTGTGCATGTGTGTGTATGTGTGTGTGTGCTGGTGCTGATGGTGGATGTTTCGCTCATGGCTCATGCTCACGCTTGTGCGTCTGTGTGTGTGTGCGTATGTGCTCTCTGCATCAGGCGCCGCTGTCGCCGTCCAAAGTGGAGGAGATCCAGGCGGAGATCAACAAGGAGCGGGAAGCGCTGCTGCAGCAGACGAACATGGCGGCAGAGGAGAAGGAGAAGGTGAGCAATGCACACGTGCACCCATGTGGGCATGCACAACCAGGCACGTGTCCATTCGCAAACAGCACAAGCAAGCATTCGCAAATATGCAAACTCCGCTTGCATTCGTGTGCACCCAAACACACTCGGTCACCACCACCACCAACATCATTGTTACCATCCCCATGACCACCACCTTCACGCCCAACACTGACCTACCACCACCATCAACACCACGACCAGGCTGAGGAAGCGCTGAAGAAGCGCGAGGACGAGTTGACACGACAGCACCAGGCGCGCGTGAATCTGCAGAAGAAGATGGACATGGTGCAATCCAAACTCATCGTGGGCGGTGTGAACCTCCTCGACAAGGCAAAGGAGCAGGAGAAGTACGATGCCCGTGTCGCTCTCGTGTTTGCTTGTGTAGTGTTTGCCTGTGTGTGTGTGTGTGTGTGTGTGTGTGTGTGTGTGTGTGTGTGTGTGTGTGTGTTGTTTCGTCTGTGCTTCATCGCATTGTCTATTGTGTGTGTGTGTGTGTGTGTGTGTGTTTTTTTTTGGGGGGGGGGGGGTGCGTGTGTGATGTTCGTCTGTTCGAACTGCCCGTGTATTCGCGAGTCGTAGCGTGCCCGCTCACCACAACCGCCACCTCCCTTCCACTCAATTCCGACCACCCACTCGGGTGTCAGGTTGCTGGAGGACGCACAGCAAGAGCTTGAGGCGAAACAACAGGTCTGTACAGTCATTTGTACGTGTGTATGTGTGAGTCCTTGTGCATGTGTGGTGTGTGTGTGTGTGTGTGTGTTGTACGCGCTTGTGCGTGGCAGCTTGCCTCGATACCAACGTGCATCTGTCACACCTCCGTTCCTCTTCTCATCATCATCATCATCATCATCATCATCATCATCATCATCATCATCATCATCATCATCATCATCATCATCATCATCATCATCATCATCATCATCATCATCATCATCGTCATCATGCTCATCATCATCATCATGCTCATCATCATCATCATCATCATCATCATCATCATCATCATCATCATCATCATCATCATCATCATCATCATCATCATCATCACTACCGCCCCCACCGTGCACCATGTGTATGTGTGCACAGCAACAAGAGACGTTGCACCGTGCGCTGGAGGATGCGGAGGCGATCAAGTTGGATCTGGAGAAGAAATACAGCAGCCTGGAGGAGGAAATGGCCGACAAGAAAGAGTGAGTACAACCACAACGCTGAGGGGCACGGGAATGCCACGTGTTTGCCGTGCGTCTGTCTTTGTGTGTGTGTGTGTGTGTGTGTGTGTGTGTGTGTGTGTGTGTGTCTGTGTCTGTGTCTGTGTCTGTGTCTATGTCTGTGTCTGTGTCTATCTTCATGCTCGGTTTTGTCGCATGACATCATACTGACCCCCAATATGCTTCACACACACACACACACACACACGTCGACACACGTCGACAGCAAAATCAAGAAGTTGTATGACCAGTACATTTCCCTCAAGGCGGAGCGGGATGACACCCGCAGCGATTACGAGAGCCAAGTGCGTCTGTTACTGTGTGTACGTGTGCATGTGATGCGTGCCATATTTGTTCGCCTGCACCACCACTTTTTTGCCCTTGTTGCCTCTGCTCGTCTGTTGTTGAAATCAAGCCACACCTATACCGCCCATGCACACACACACACGCACACACACACACACACACACACACACACACACAAACACGCGCACACGTTCATTCCCCCACCCTTCCACCCCTTGTGCGTGGCGCGCGTGTGTGTGCAGCTGCAAAGCCTGGAGGACAACTTGCATGCACTGCGGTGCGAGGTGCAGCTGCAGGACCTCATCATCAGCTCGTGGATACCGCCGGAGTATGCCGACGCCATTGAGCGGCTGGCCGTGTGGAACGAAGAGATTGGCGACTGGCAGATACCGGGGCTGCCGCACACGGGCAACAACTACATGCGCACGGACGCGCAGCACAAAGAGATGCAGCGCGCTCTTGGTCTCGCGCCTGACGCAAAGCAGCAGGAGGGCAACAAGGCCCCGGTCAGTGCATGCTCTGGCGTAGGGGTGTGTGTGTGTGCGTGCGTGTGTGTTGTGTGTGTGTGCGTGCGTGTGTGTGATGTTGTGTGCGTGTGTGGTTGTGGGTTTGGTTGTGGGTTTGGTTGTGGG